TACTTATACATCTATAAAACGTTAACGTATACCAATGTAAACTACGCCACATTGAACTTTAACTTATTGACCAAGCAATGCATCGGGCACGCATTTAAAGCGACAATGGGTTCCGTATTGATAGATCGACTACCAAACGCGGGTCTCGCGCCGCCTCAGCAACGTAGTACACAAGCTATACGTATTCAATCTAAACAAGGGTCTCCGTGCATGTACGTTATAGCGTCGGGTGGCCACATGCTGCGATCCATATGTAAGCGAAGGTTTACCATATGAGCCTGTCTTACACATGTTTACACAGAGTTTACACATAACTAGTCTTACGATCTTAGCTGAATTTAATCAGAAATCGTTCATCGGAATGGTCCGTGCTCAATGCAAACAGCCAGATTATATGCAACTACAACTCATCCTACCGATATTACAACTTTGTCGGATTCCACTCGAGCGTAATGATACTGGAATGGCGTCCACGTCACCTCTGTGTGATTACATTTGCGTCGTTTTTGGCTCTAAAAGTGCTAATTCCACGAATCGGCTTCTGATTGATGTCACTAGAGCAGCGTCCGTCCCTGTGGCCAATGTTCAATGCATTGAAAAGCACTCTGAGTATGGCGGAAACACCCAAGTACATACGATGTCTTTATGTGGAATGGCCGAACGACCGTATACCAGCTGACTCATAAGGGATGATTGATGATTCAAGTAAAAGGCGCCTGCCTTTAGGAAGTGGGTTGACGTGTTCTGCGCTACAAGCAAACTGGTTTTCGTTATTCGGCGCTAAATTCGAGTCGCGCGCTTCGGCGACAAGTGATTTAAAGGCGGGATACAAGACCACATAAATTTTATTGGGCATCATGTCACTGCGCGAAGTTTGAAATGGGTGTTGTACAAGTTATTGCTACCAGGTCGTCACTTTGCGTGACAGTCAAATGCGACATTATATAGATCGTCTCACGCCCAGGCAGAATACGTGAACTTCCCGTAATTTTTATAAACTTTGGTAAGACTAATCAAAGTTTTAACGATAACCATGACCAGTCAAAATATCGTTGAATACGAGAAACCCAACGCAGACGACTGCTGTATTGTTACAATTAACTTCTAAGAATTTGATTCACCGAGTGTAAGCGCCAAGTGTTGTGTCCTGCAGGTTTTTCTTAATTTTTGCTATTATGTTCCAGTTACCCTCTTAGTGTGAAGAAGTTCTCAGAGTTACTTCCCAGTATAGCATCAAGTCAAAGGACCCAGCCCCGGCGCTTTTAAGGGCACCGGATAGCGTTACACTTGTCAAGTGGTCAGGAAACGTTACGAGGTGATCACGCTTCTGCAGCAAACAGAAACGCTATTTGTAGCCGTTCATGCTGGTAAACTCTTCTCGATAACGTAGAGCCAGACAAGTTTACTATAGATCACTTAAGAAATGTTGAACATGTGGATTAAGTCTACACGGAAAAGTCGACTTTAATGCAACTAGACGAATATCGGAAATACTACAAATTGCACGCAAGACATGTGTTTTTGCTAGGTTTGGTTCCGAGCGAACGATAGACAACAAATGCCAGGAAGAACTCGGATCTACTCTCATTAACCACCGGCAGCGTCCGATAGCGCCAGGCGAACTAGTTCAAAGAGTCACACATGCGCAAGTTGCATCTGTATACTGCCTAGTGTCGAAATCCTGAACTTCCCTGCACGCCAGTCCGATCCGATCCAATTGTCGTGACAAACTCAGCTTGTGACGAACGATATCTGGAGCAACGTTGATAACTTATAGCGCTTAACAGCCTCAGCGCCCCAAGGTGTCAGCGTAATTGGCTGGACAGACAGGGCGGAGACAGTCGCCTTTTGGCAAATGGCCTGGAGCCAGTGAATGGTTTTAGGCCATGTGCCAAAAGGATGATCCATTGGTCAGACAAATTACACTACGAGGAGCCGTTGTTGTCCGTCAGCTGACGAGCCCAATGATGGCCTTGTTGCCTCTACCTGTTGTCAAGCGTGCCCAGTGAGAATAGCAAGAAACGTTCATTTGAGATCTACTGTACTATAGCGAGTTGTCCAGTCATAATTTGCGGTTAGTTCGACTGATGAGCAAGTTGTGTGCAGAGAACTACCAGCATACGGCCAAATGGCCCTATAGCAATCTATATATTTAACAACGGATGTCCGAAGTAAGGTTGTATTGACCAACGCCTAGACGGCCGCGCTTTAGCTGGATATACGTTGAGTCAGCCGAAGACGCTGCGAATGAGGCAAAAGCATTCGTACTATTATACTGGTGGGACAAATCCATCAAATAATTCGAATAGAATCAAACGGTCGTTGCTGACTTGTGGTTTTCGCCGCAGTCGCCGCCACGAGATGTACAGGACGACAAGAAACGTCCACGGACAAGTTCACGATAAAAACCACAGATGGCAATAAGTTAGAAAACCAAGCGGGGCAGAGTTCGCATCTGCTGAGCCGTAGCAGGCAGTCTTGTCGAAAACAGACATCAAGTGACTGCCGTTAGCGGTCCGTTAACCTAGTTGGCCAACAAACAGCAGAGAAGTAACTGGTAGCTGAGATGATGAAATATTAGAAAACAGCTTTACATCCGGGTCCCATTGCTTGTCTGCAGCAATGCAGGTACGCTTGTTTACAATGGTTGCATCCGGATCCCCTTGACGCTCGTTTAGGAAGGCAAGGGTCGATCGCAAAATTGCAGTTGGTTGCTGAAAAGCCTTATAAAGTACGTATAGATAGCCCCTATTAACCACATTAGCTGATTCAAAGCACAACAATTTTAAACATGATCCTAAATTTGAGCACCAAATAGACAGCCTACACTTTTGAGACCCTTTTCAGTGACGCTTTATGCTCCTGTGGCTGCGTATGTTGTTACCGGTTTCTGCATACGTCTAAAAGCTGTGCACATCTACAATTTATGGTCAACATGAGCATGTATCACTATTTTCAAGGAAACTTACCTTACCACTATGACTGGTCATTAGATGTTTGTGAATAATCGTCAAAATTTAAATCGAATATTTTATACACATTGGAGGTTTTGGTATGACACAGTCAAGCTCAAATCAAATGTACAAACAAACCATATCGTACGTGTAATACTTATTCAATGTATCGCTACTAGTACAGCTTACTATTAACTTTACTTTACACGGTACCAATTAACTGCCGAGTTACTGTCGAATAAAGGCAGTCTAAGTGTATTCATGAAGGGAAGAACTCAGTCTCGACGGAATATTAATCAGCATATCACAGACCTTCAATGCCATTGCATAGATGGTCTTCTAGAAGATACCACGCTGTGCTGTTAATAACACATATTGAGACTCTTCGAACAAACGAATATCTCGTCACCTGTTTCAAACGAAAGCTTTATATAATAGAACGAACGCTACGAGCACATTGATTACTCTTGACATAGACGGTCTGGCCTGCCCAACATTTTACAGGACACTTTTGAATAGGAGTTGATTATTAAGCTATTAGTAATGTAAAGGTCACGCATATACACGCAATAATCCAATAAACATATAGCATTTAAAAAATGTTTCATGTCAAAAAAATTCTGCTTCGTCATACGATTTATAGCACCACTGCACCCGCATATTCGTGAGTGTGGGCTTAGCGCTATTGGACGCGCAAATTCACTGGTTTGTCCAATAGACACGATTACAGACCGCTATGGCTGACTAACAGAGAGGTCTCGACGAAGCCCTTGAAGGTTCGATCTCCACGGTCTGCATAGGATAGATTTAGCAGATATGTTCAAAGCCATCGTAGATACTGCTTGATCTGGCTCAAAATAAATGTCTTTTATTTCAGTTAAAGGTAATCATTGCATTCTTGCTTTTTCAGGAGAAAGCTATATATTTAAACGTGGGACATCACGTATTCGAAATCCTGATTCAACACCGTTACGATGCATGGGACATTGGTGATTGTGTATATGATAAGTCAGGGTATTTGTCATTGAGACAAACTCGTCCACAATAAAACAACCTCAGTAGTAGTTATCTTCTCGAAGAAATAACCTCCTAAAATCGCACCTTTTCGTATTTGCCATATATATATTCCGTATCCAGCCAGGTTAAAAACCACAGGTGACTAGACGTCTTACATGTTGAAGCTACGGTCTTAAATCAGTCATATATATATTCGATTAGCGTTATGTCTGTCGCTACGTATTTATCCCACATTACGCCAGTATCTGACGATTCAAGTAAATTCGCATCTGTCCAGTGCGGATAGCGCGTATCTGACAACCTTCGATGTGAAATCCTCTCACTCCATTTAACAAACTCTAATGAATTTCGTCGCCGATATGGATGGGGTAACACGGATCGGATACTAGGTGGCGAAATTGACAATTGCGAAAACGGTGCGACCTTAAACGAGACCTTCGTATCGAGGGATTCCGGAATGAAGGAACCTATGTACACGACCGCTATATATGTGTATATACAACAGCAAAAGAGCGGAGCACTGCTAGATCTCACAATGGACGAGACAACCACCTCTTTGGACAGTAGAGCGCGCTCTGTCGTTGTACAGCGCGCATCAACAGCTGAGGAATAGCTCAGCAGTGGGTCATCAATGGCAACAGGCGGCGTGAACGTCGCTGCGTCCAGCACCGAGATACTGTAAAAGAAAAAGGCGACGAGCCGCTGCTATCCCATGAGCCGTTCGGGTTAGATTCGAAGGCAGGACATACGAGAAAATGTCCGGTTTTCATGAGTAAATGATGAATGAGCAAACAGTAAGGTCAAATAGACGAATCGATCAGACTGTGCCAGCAATTGGAGTCGGTTGTTGTTGGACTGCCGCTGATTCAACTGAATAATTTCGGAGTACAAAAAGTGGATGCGTCAATCGTAACTTTACCGCTTTATATGCTTGCTATTCGGCTAACAGTCGTTGACTACATTAAATCCAAGAACATGAACAGGTTTCTCTAGAAATTTCTATGCTTTTATTCGAACAAGCGAACCTACCAGCAGGTCGTCGAGGAACATCGTACAACGACTTTCAAGCATCTCGATCATCCGTAACAGGTCACTGATATCATCTGTACGATCCCGTGAGGCAAGCATATCACTGGTATCCACGTTGACATAGCTGCCACTAGTGTCACTAGATCGTCCATCCTCCCTGGCCATGTAGTATTCAGGCTCGATACTTTCGTAGCCGGTGACAAAACTGACGTTAGTATCACTGAGATTTGAGCAGCTGTCCACACTGTCGATCTGGCGTACACTTCCTCCACCGTCACTGTCCGCTGTCAAGAAGTTGCCAGAAATGTCGTTGAGTGAGGAGACACTCTGCGAAGGGCACGACTCAGTGTGACGACGATCACTACCGATTGAGTTCAATGCTTCGGCTACCTCATGGATTTCAAGTTCGGCTGGAGTCAGTGGAAGGTTAGCGAACTCGGATAGATCTGGCCAGCTACCAGAAGTATTACTACTCTCTCCACTAGTATGACGGTTCCGTTTGCCTTGAGGCATGGTCAAGTAATTGATCCTAGGCGGGCTAAAATATTGTTTCGACCTGCTGGAGCCTTGTGAAGGACAGCGCTCCGGGTTCGTGCTAGCCCACTGCGTTAACGAAGGGCTCGGTTGTGAGTCAACGTGGGTTCGAGATTTCGGCCTATAATCATTGTTCTCAAGCCACTGGTAAAACTGATCGATATTAATTGTCGGTATTGGGGGGCACGACCTGCTTACTTGGGGCTCTCGATCCTCTTTGGGTTGAGGTACAGCTATGTGAAATGCCTTCTCAGATTTTCCCGGATAGTAATACCTTTGTAGAGGCCGAGAACGATTGGCAGAATTAAGAACAACACTTCGCGGCTCAGGTGATGGGCTCATCGATGGCCGGACCTCGGTCACATCAATAATGCTCCGGGATTTAGGTGTCACTCCATTGTAGTAACTGCGTCGATGTGGGTGTTCGCAATAACTTGAAGCTGCATAGCTATCAAGCCGTCTAAGATATCCTCGTGAGTTGCTTCGCTCCTCAGATGAATGGCGACGTTCGATGAACGGTTGTGGAGGAGGAACAGCAAGGACTTCAAAGGGCACGTTTTCATAAACGCGTTCTCCTGAGTGTTGGAATACGGGATGGCTGGGAGGCATAGCATTCATGTCTATTATCAGCAACACATCCAGAATGTTGCCACTTCCTATAGGCATGCAAACGCCCACATACGAAATTTCCTTAGATGCAGAAAAACCACTGAAAATTGCACCAAGAACCTAAACATATATGTATATATACAGTACAGGAAAAAAACACTACTGTTTTGAGTCTTACTCAGAAGGGCTGTGTCACTAAATTGCTTATGGATGGTTGTAACGTCCCTCAGAGCCTGGTGAATGTACGATGGTTAGGCTCAAAAAGCTAGACGAACGAAAGATCTCAACCGCAACATAACAGCCGGCACCGTGGCGGGCACTCGGTTCAGCAACGCAGACACATACAGAGCGCAGACCCACCAGGCCCTGGGCGAGGGTCCTGCGCTGACGGGAGAAGATTGACTATTGCCACAGATTGGCCCAAAATGAGCTGATCTGGCAGCCTAAAGGTCATCAGGTACCGGTTTCTGGGTCCCCAAAGTACTGACTCACCGTAGAACTAGTAAGGAGTCAATGCGAAGGCTCTCACATTCGCAGCGCAATGAGGGTTTACTATGGATACTGCTACGACCGCAATGACGATGTTGTTGGGCAAAAGAGCCCGCTGATGAGCGTCTCCACACATATTTATAAGCGAGAGCCTTTAGGAGAAAGCAGTAGTCACCAATTATCTGATAGTATAACTGATTTTGCAGGGCGGGACCGGCTGGACGATGCATATGACGGGATCGAGCACGAGCAGCATTGATCGACATCGATCGAACTACACAGAATCGGCGATCAGCGGAGGGTGGAGCAGACACCGCAGCAGTGGAGTAGGGTGGGCTGTGAGAGGCGCTCTGGTGATGACGACAATAAGTGCAGCCATAGAGGGCGCGTAGTTATAGCTATAGCAACAGTTGAATAGATGAAACATTCGCTTAGGAACAGCCACCTAAGATATGAGAATGCTGCCTGTGATTAACAAGTAACGGGACGCCTGACTGCTGTGTAACTAGTCAGTAGGCCAATATAAGCGATGTAGTAACGACCGCGGCGGTGGTGGAAACGACAACGGTTGCAAAGCGTCGAGACTTATACAAGCTGGAGCAAAGTAAGTCAGCGAGTAACTAATGTTAGTTAGAAGGGAAGCTAATATATGGCACGCCGGCGATCAACGGCAAGGTCTTGGCTTAGCCAGTGTTAAAAACAGGGACGCCTACATGTAGCAAGAAGTATAATGTACCGTTCAATACCAAGCATTCTATCTCAGAGAAGTGCACGTGCGAAAGAAAGTATTTTTCGTTAGTTCGTTCAATTTATCACTTCTAAGTCTAGGCTGTAGGATCGCTCTGATCTATTTAAGCTGGCTGAGTCGCCCTATAAATATCTGTGCGATTTGAGGTAACTTTTGTACGCGAAACATATCTCTCGGTTTTTGGTAAACTACTCTATCGAATTTTCTGCTAACATTCAAAATGATATAACCCACAACTCGTTGAAGTTACTCTGCCACATTGTATTTCTAGAGGAAGCTGTAGACCTAGAGGAAATCATTTGGAGTTCTCGAATTCTAAACAGACCGTAATTCTCAAATGTAAAATAACTTATCGTGCTTCGTAGCGTCTAGTATAGTTCGGGAACAACGAGCAATCGAACAGAATAAATATCTATTTCATATATTGTTTTAACTTTCCTAGTCACTGCTGTTCAGGCTAGCTAGGGCTCTAACATACCAACAGTTTAACGTAAAAATTCAATTGAATCATCCAATGTCAATGACTGCAGTAAAGCTGAAATTGGTTTGGGTTGATACGCTTCCGTGAATAACCTGACGGGTCTGTCTTCAAACGTCATAGAGCGTCACAAGGCCAATAAACTCAGATTGGCAAACAGTTTCTCGTTTTTCAAACCAATTAAGTATGTCGTAATCGCCATCTTACCGCTGGGCATGCGGCAGGGTTCTAGGCAATTGATATGTTGCCGAGTGCTCGAAGAGTTGCGTGATTCCATGAACAGCAGGTAGAATTTGCCATTTACGAGGGGCGTTTTTTTACTTCGCCTAAACTTAAAAATGCCCAGGTGCCAACTTCGGTAAACATTTATATTCAAACACACAAAAAAAATAAATCAGCAAAAGGACGCGAACTCTGTCTAAAATATTATACGGCGATATACGTTCTGGTACAGCTACAAACGGACTTGTGTGACAGAAGCTTCAGCTATTGTGAGAGCCGCCTTTTACAGTATAACCATTGTCGCAAAGCATTTCAGTTGATCCTACGGGTGCTCATATCGGTAGAAATTCACTGCAGGTTATGTAAGGAATAAGATGTAAAGGTAAAGAGCATCTCCTCTAAGATTTAAAGAAGCCAAGCAAAAAGTTCAGTGAACATAGGTGGCGTCTGCTTATCAGCGTATTGCATCAATTCGTCTCGGGACCCCGTAAACGGACCTATAGACGTAAGCACATCGAAGTAATTTCGCAAGCAATCATCCTAGCGCGACTAGTTTACATAAGACTATCGCGCCTTCCATTGCTACCCATCTGTTCCTTCTGACTTGTTCGACTCGATGTGGGACAACCCAAGTGACCCTTATACCGCACGATAGAATGTCGACCGAAAGTGGGTCTGATAAAGCTGAGGTTAAGCACGCGTTAGGCATCCTCAGTAAAACGAAGCGCTATTTCATCTATCAATGTGATAATAGCGTTAACAGAAAAGTAACGTCGATCACCAGATAACTTCCTCGATCCGTTGTTATGATGGTGACCTGTAGCAAGAATATTGATTGTTGACCGACTCGAATTGCCAATTGCAGTATTTGCGGAACCTATTATTGACAGGTTGAAGGAACATGGGAAGGAGAAGGGAAAGGCATTGGCGGCATAACGACTACAAAAGCCGTTTGTGACTAGAACTCGGTTCGAGTTCTGTCTGCTTCAATATTACATATCGCCGTTCACGTTTTGACTATAACCTTCAAGCTTTCGGTATAACGCTATCAAGCAATATAAATGAATATAATATGACAGGATCAACCTCTTAAAGAAACACTCATTAGCAACCTCTGATGACAAATTATACAAGCACGTCTGTAGATTACTCATGTTTAACATCTTTTAGATCCTTTACTTTCGATACCGCTTCAACCAGGCTTCATTATTTAGAAGATGGCCTAAACCTTAAGTTCGCTAAATGACACCTTTAAGTAACTTTCATCTGTTTGTATCAGTAGTAGCGATCGTTAAGGAGCTAATAAAATTGTGATCTTTCTCTTTGAAGGGTTAAGAATTATTTACACGCATATAACTTCTCTCTTATACACATGCAGAAAGCATTCAATTTGTTTTCAAAGCACAACTTTAGCGTCACGCTTTAGTGTCATGATAGCAAACTTAAAATGCTTCTTTCGGCTAGCAAGCGGTGATTAGCTATGGGAAAATTTTGACATTCGACCGCCTGTTGACCGAGCATAGTGACCGCAAGGGCCTATATCTGAGTGTATAAAAGTCGAAGGTGTACACACGCACATCTATCTACTGTAATTTATAATTTTGTACGAGCACATCGCCGGCCAAGTCGTTAGTTGTTGAAGCTGTGCTTGGTGCCTTAGGGCAAAGTCCTTGAAACGAAGGCTCAACGGGAAGTTTCGGTCTTGGCTTGTGTACGTGCGGTACACAGATGTCGGCTATCATCAGTACAGATGCTGTTGTTGACGTCGTTGCGCACCCCAACCAAAAAAGGGTATACAGGAAAGTATTTACTCATAACAAGGAATTCAATAGACATTACAGTAGCGGTAGTGCTAGCTTTTCGGTGAAGTGTCTGACTGACTCCCCTTCGTCGTCTTCCCGATCTTTTCTCGAAGTCCTTTCTTGATAGCCAGGTTCGTTGGTGACAGGGCTAAAGCAAACGATGCTAAGACTAACACGGCCTCGTACGCGGCGTCGTGCGCCGTTGGCTTGAATTTAGCTTGAGTGAGTGGTCGGCGACTTCAATGCTACTTCGATTCTAGCTCGCCCTATTGCGCGTGTTATAAATGTCTTATTGCATAAAACGACGAAGCAAGCTAAGACACCCAGAGCATGCTGTTAATGCTGCAGCGGCGGCTGTAGCAACGTTGACGCGGTCATCGTTTATGACCTACTAATCGCACAGTCACTGCACCAAGGTTCATGGTGATCTCCATTTACTATACGGATATAGGAAAAATTCATATAGCGATCGTAGGCTCAAATGAACATCAATACTCCTGCAACAATAGTCCTGCATAGATAAGCAAACCAACGAGAACCGACTGCTGCATCAACGGAACGTATATAAATAGACGTACCCATAATCTAAACCTATCGAGATATAGATCGTAGCAGTAAAAGTATGTAAAAACAAAAACTCTTAGTAAACTTAATACGTACTTAGTTCAATTGGGTTCGTAAAAGTGTGACTATAGCTTCACTTTTGATGCGACCATGGTTAATCGTTTAGCAAAGCTAAATGTTCATTTTTTATAGGAGGAAAATGCAGTTACTTCCAAGACGTTCATCCTGACAACAGTCGCTCACCATGGTCATGGCAGAGGGTAGAAACGTAAATTTTAAAAACAAGGCTTAGTAATACTTTTCAAAATAATATGCCACAAGCATCTTGTTCTAGTTTGTTGTAGTTGTTCGAGATTTAGTCTTAGGCGCTACGAACTGTTTATCTGCGACCAGCCCGTCGACAAACTTAAGCCGCCAAAGCGTCAAGAACAGGATAAGGCTGCTGTAAAGGCTTGAGGGACTCAAGTACCCCAGATGGCACAGTCGGTTCAGTCCGTTGTGAGGTACGTACATTGAAAAATGAGATTTCTAGTGAAACGCATTGTGTAACATGTACGATTAGCGAGCAAATAGACAATAACGAGCCTTAGCTGACTCCAACTTTGAACTTATTTTAATAACACAAATGTAAAAACGTAGATGTAAATACCAAATGTAAATGTAGACACCAAAACGCGCACAAAAAAAAATCAGAAAATCATGTAGCCTACACATGTAGCCTAATTCCTGAACAACAGGCACGACTACAGCGGGCCATCATGTAATCGCGATGCCGTTGACAGCTCATAGTTCTCAGTTTAGTTGAACTCATACGGAACATTGCAATCGTTTCGTAATGAAAAAATCTACAGCAGATTCGGCAAACACTGCTGACTTGATCTGTATGCGTCGTGCTACTGCCTACCGCTGTGCAGTCATTCACAACGCACGTGCGATTTTCACGAACGCCCCGAATTCGGCGTTCGTTCTTCGTAGGTTTCGTTATTAACAATAACACCATTGAGATGCAAAACTGACGCCGCAGGCTGAAGCAACAGTTTCGTTGACACCGGCAAAAAAAAAACGATGATTCTTAGTGACGGCGTTTCATCGAAAATCTTCCAGTCGATGTTGGTTTGTTGGTTCCTCTCGAACGTAGGACCGCATCGAAAATTCACAAATCTGCAAAATTATCCGCCGACCGTAACGACGGCAATAGCAACATCGACGACAGTATCAGCAGCAGTAACGGCAAGACGGCACTTCAGGTATCTTCTCAAAATTAGCTCCGGGCTTCGCTTGCTCCTTGACACATTCGATTGCTTTGGCCGGCGGGATTGAGTCGCGAGTCGCACGTGTTCCGCTGTGCGTGCGTGGCCGCAAGCAAAAATTGGGGGCATTCTATTTCAAAATGGCGCCGATGATCAACGACGTATCTTTGAATCGATGCGATCGAACTGAAGTGTTTTTTTCATTTCTTTCTACGCATGCACGCCTAGTTGTATAACGGCTGGGACTTCTCTGAACCATAACTTTTTTTAACTTAAGTAGAGTTTAGCACCTACGCTACATTGTAATTGTGTTACAGTTACGATTGTATTTTTCTAATGCTCATAAAAATTTCAGCCAGTGTTACATGTTCATCTGAAGCCTACAGAAAACTCGCATAAATATGTTTTCACTTTATGTTTCGTACAAAAAAAAGTTAATTATGAGACCTATCGGAAGTCAAAGCCATTCAACGCGTGTGAGAATACACATGAACAGCAGACATCGTGCGAAAGGGTCCATTAGATTTAGCTATGAACATTCACATGTATGCAAGTAGAAACTTCAAAATGAGGTCGTTTAATATAGGTACTTCTAGAACACGTTCGTTTAGCAAAATGGTTTGCATATTTGGGTATGCAAACCATATTGTCAGTATATTCATATACTCTACATAGACCATAAACCGTGCTTACTTTCATGAAGGACAGCGAAGCTTTCAAATATTTCAGGGCTCAGTTTGTTACATCGTTTTAATACATACTGGTCAGCGTACGGCTTCGAATACGCACACTTACAGACCTACTGGTTTCTCAGACTATACTCTTGATAGTAATATTTAAACTATATTTAAAACGTTAAAGCGTATGCACGTGTCGTTCGGGCGAATTTAAATCAATTGTATCGTGCTTGACAACCAAAAACAAAGCCAGCCGTCCGTCCCATGATCCGATCGCCAAAGACCAAGCTCGCTTCGATTAAAGAGTTTTTAGGCAAAAAGTCGTAGTAATTCGAGGTTACAGATTGTTTGTTAGTGTCTCGTGTCAGGTTGAACCTAAATCATGTCGTCCGGCGATATTTAAGAGAACTTCTATTAAAAAAAGCAATATGGACGGCAGCCAGTTTTGCTAATCGGTTATATAGTTAATTTAGACGTATTGTCGAAAAGGTATTGATCCGAAACCGTATGAAAGTTGAATTACAAATAAATTAGTTTCACTAAGTGTTGTATTGTAATATATACTTTTATGTTCGGAATACGTTTTACCTCGCAAATTCGAAATAGCTGCTGATCACTGTTACATATTTAAGTCTTACTCAATGCGGTATACTGCCACAGATGGGTAGCATATCACTGCAACTGTTACAAATGATTTATTCGGTTTAAGTAGAATTTTATATTAACTGAAAGTGGCCCGAGACAAGGATCTGGGTATAAATACGTTGTATAAATCAGGAAAAATGTTTTAGGTACAATTTTATTTGTCCCGTTGACGAGGCGATGTTCTTGATCATCTAAAAGGATGACAGCTTTTTATTTAATCAAATCCAGCTTTTCATATAACGTTAAACGGCACAGGTCGGCACGTCTATTGATTTTGCTTTCTGACTTCAACCGAAGTTCCACATACAGCAGAATTGAGCATAAAGCATAAGTATTAGATCATTTTCAGACGTTTTTAATTTGTTCGAAGTTAGGAATAGCTTAATCTTTATAGGAGTCGAAACCTCCTATCATCAGCGCTCACAGCTATAGGCAATACTGCCTATGATCCAGTAGGCACTAAATTTTAATATATTCATAAAACCCGTTTAAAGTCAAGTGTGGGTATACTATGTATGAAGCGAAATTATTATAAAGCACAGGGGTTTAATAGAGTAAAAAGAAACACGTTTGCATCATCGGTGCCATCTATAGACAGTGTTAGTAGTCACAACAAATCACCCTCAACCCGAGAGTAATCCCGTCAACATCATGGATCGTTTATTTAGAATTTTAGGTAGTAAAGAACAGACTCACCTACTCAAAACGAAAAAACGAGCCAATCAAGATGCCTCTGGAGGGCGTTTATTCTCTGAATATATATCGCGACTCTGCTATCTAATGAAATTCATATCGTCCAAACATGGCTACGTTCTGAGAAAAAAACTCATATATTTGAGTGAACAGCTGGGTTTCAGCTGGGAAATGAGCCCGTGTGAGACACTGTGCTTACAAACGAGATGATTTACCTGCAATGTCAGTGCGATTGCCGGCCATTTACGATTTAATTGAAGCTTGAAACACTCTTTTTTCCCTCATAATAAGTAACTCAATGATAATCAATAATTAACTCAAGTCGAAGCATTTGCACCTGGATCTTTTAGATAAGTGTCCTGCAACTAGAAACAGCTACACGCCTCTCTTAGGCCGCTAGAAAAATAATGCTTCAAACCGTAGCCTACGGTTGAAATAGATTCCTTTTAGCATAATTCCGATAAATTTATGGCCTTGAGCGTTCTCATTGGTCAGCAAAGAAGGTGAAAGCTGACAGGAAAGTAAACAAGCGGTAAATCTAGTTTAGGGCTAAAAACCAACGCTATTCTTTAAGTTCGCATAAGTTCACATAGTGCATTGAGATAAAGCATTACTTTGTATATGCCGGTGTCTCAATCAACCGGCAAGTCACCCGATAACCCTCTAATAGATCATCTGGTTCCTCAGTCGTGTACACAGTGGCACATATTCTAGACGGTATGCACGTGTTTGCATGAGATATTAAACACATGGCAGATTAAACATCTGCTATGTCATCAAACGATAGGCGGACATTGACGTTCTGAGTCTGATTATCGCAAGTCTCAGTATTTGGTGACGAACTCTTGCATATTACTACCAGCGCGCGACCCATATATATATATATATATCGTAGAAGTTTGACCATCAGCGTCATTAATTGGATGGCTGGCTACACTGAGTGACCAAATAACGTCAGAAGAGTTGGTCATTTTCCTTCACTTACGATTCACATTATTGTTATTAGGTGAAAAGTAGGGTTAATTACTGCCTGACTAGTAGACAATATAGCTAATTTGGCTGCCGATCGTTATTAGCCGATCGCTAGACAAAGAAGACATTCACGGGTAGTTCATACAAGTACGCGTATCTATCGGTAAATGAAGAACCGAAACGCTTCCTTACAGGTTGGAGTGCTGATGCTAATACTGACAGTGAGAACAAGTGATCCAATAAAGGCCATAAAAAGATTATCTGACAGATGAACGTAGAGAAAATCTAGCCAGTTTGCAAGCTTTTTTCTCAAAATGTGCAGAGGTCTGCTCCGGTAAACAAATAGAAATGCGTAAAAGGACACGTTCAGTAATTTATCTTCTTAATTGTCCTTAAATCCTTAAACGTAATTTCTGAGGAAATTCGTAAGTTAACTGTATATTTATTAGGCTTGCTTCTACAATACTGTGTTAACAGGGCTACGCGAGAAGTTTTTTATGCCTTATCTAAACTTCACAGTTTTATAAGGACCTATTTTGTATGTGTGTGTGTGTGTGTGTGTGTGTGTGTGCGTGTGTATAGTACAAAAAGAAAAGCTACTGTTGCAATTGTAGTGAAGGTTGCTGGCTTAATCCCAACCGTTCAATTACGGTCATACGGAGAAACGGACAAATTACTTACCAGTTCACTTACCAATTGATATATAAGTCCTGCAAAATTGAAGTATTAAACAGGGCGCATTCTGCATTGCGTGTCGTGTATGATTATCCTGTGAGAACGAACTGACCGCGTGTCGCTGCATTCATTGATTTCAATTCTCATCGTTATGTTACACTCATCTATTGCTAAAATAGACGTCTATTGGTTGGTGAGTGCGGGATACAATAAAAACACAATCCATTATACGTTAACGATATACATCTATATTTATTATATCATGCGCGGGTAAGCTATTTAGGGTTTTGTGATCGTCGAATGACGTACAGCCCTGACCTGGAGGAAGCGATTTCATATCTCGATTAAGGGATCAGGTAAATGTGTAGTTTTTGTGAAGCTGTATTATCTCAGCATTCGAGAAAATGTAGTTAGGGAATAACTAGGCATCGATCGGTTATTAGATGAGCTCGATTTTTTCATTTTCGAATTCGCTGAACGTATTCGTTTTGTAGCAAACGAAGCGTAAGTTGGCCTCTATCCATGTTGTGATGGATGGATAATTTCGTATCTTCCATGTAGAACCGAGTCTATGCCAATCAGCCATTTTTAATTTTTTCGCCCCCCCTTTTTAGCTGTCGAACATATCTAACATTTTAACGTTTTACAATGGATAGGCATAAGATATAGACTTGACCAATATGCTGACATTGATTTTATTCGTTACTTATAGATCATGAAATATGGTTGTCGGACACTTCATCCAGCATTTTCTTTACTATAGATACTTGAATGAGATACGAAGTCGTTTACTAAAAGCTGTTAGCCAATGAGTGATACATTCAATTATACCTCATTCATGTTTCTCGTAGCACTCTGCTACTGCTCTTCACACTTCCTCGCTACCTAACCATATTGCTCTGTCATAGACTCTGCAATATGATACCGATCATATCATAATTTAGAAGCCATAGTTCTATTAGGCATTACGTGCTGACTACGTCTATCTATCCAGAAGCTTCTAAATTTCTAGGTTGAGGTGTAGAATGTGCTCTATGCTAAATGAATTTCAATTAGACTCTGTTATCAAAAGGAGCCGCTTCATTTTCGTATAGCAAGCTATTGAAAACTATTCTTTAACAATCGGGATAAATAGGCAGAAGCAACCAATATCTATTGATTGGATTTTGCGGCTTGCAGATTCCATAGATGTAGAAAGTTACTTAACGAAATCCCGTGCTATTGATCGAAGTGAGGTGCTCAGGGGCACAAAAAATCCAAAGCCGTAATAAAGCGTACTTGATTTTTTTAACACCGAGCCCATGAACTTGAAGCTCGGCAGGAGAAAAACATCATATTTAACGATGGAAACTTTACTTGTTCCTGTCAATCGCTTCCGTGAGCTTGTCAAAAGTCAGAGCGCCCATAAGTGTGTCAACAACTTCACCGTTCTTGAAAAATATAAAGGTTGGTAATGAGGCAATGTCATATTCCGTAGCCGCGTCCTCGTTTTCATCTACGTCGACCTTGAGAAAGATCACGTCGGCGTACTGTTCTGATATTCGCTGAAATTTTAGCCGCAGGCAAATATAAAGCATAAAGTAAGTGTTCAAACACCAATCTTAATGACACAACGGTGAGATATGTAAGCAGAGATCCATTTATTTCGTCTTTCATTAAATACCTCTGCATATCTGGAATGTGAAAACTGGTAATTTTTTTAAAACGTTCCAATCATTGTAAGACATTTTAAAGTCTAAGGCAATATAGTTACCTACGAACTAAATTGCGGGAAGTTATCCGATTACTGTCGGAATCCTCTCCGATCGAATCGACGACGGTCTGTGAAGCGGAAGTGATTTGCCTATACATACGGTATCAAGGTGTACGTGAGTTTTCTCCTGATATGCCCGTCGGCCTGATCCCAGCTAGCCGCACGTTACGCCAAGTCTCCTTTAGGAGACGTAGCTCAACTGTACGCTACTCCTCAGACCAAGTACCCAGTTTCCTAACGAGTAGGGCACCCCCGGGGACCTTCTAACCTCTGGCAGTCCCCTCTTACATAAAAGGATGAATTCTCTGATCAACCTATCAGATGAACCTAAAGCACGAGCTATCAGATTAACCTAAGCACACCCTATCGTATCGACCTAAAGCACAAAGCACAGCCTATCGGCAACCATCGATGTATTGCTAGTTGCACGACCATGTTTATACTATGAGCCGTGAGGAGTACATAACCTGGGAGTGGTTACTGCTGGTCCTCGGAACGATCAACTAGGCTCACGTCTCGAGAGACAGGACCAAACTAATCTACGCTACTCTGAAGCACTGGACAGCGACTGACGCCTTATTTCTTGATCAATATTAAGCAACGCCAAAGGCGGCTCTACGCCATCCAAGGGAAGAACCATTTGTGCTCAGTCCACCTCATAGCACAAATATTTTAGGTCGTGTCTCCTTTTGCTAAATATATTTTTCCGCCCGGCTGGCTTTTCAACTAATGGTCGCCTTTTAAATACTTTTATGTGACTATACCGATTGGGGGATGGTCTGTTAGTCGATATACGCAGCGAAGACAGTTACTTCGCTCGGCGGGCCAGCTAGGCTGAATGTGTATAGAGCACACGCATTTAGCCCACGATATCCAATCACTACCTTTTTACCTCATAAAGAGAGCGTGCATATCGATCTTCTCTACTGAAGGTGGATTTGATTAACTTTTAGACAGCAGGCTTGGACCAGCAACGTGTATTAAACATAGCGCTCAACGACGATGAAATATATACATTAATATCAAATATAGATTCACTTTAATGACAATGAGTTAAGCAGTCCATACAAGCGGATGAAATTTTCATTTACTTTGGACTCAACTATCAGGAAAACCTCAATTTTTATCATTCTATTTATACACATGGTGTTTCAGTATGGTTGGCTTGAGCTAGGCGTTCAAAAAAGCAGAATGTTGGAGAGGCATAAATATGGACTATAAATCAGGTTACGTAATTGCAGCGCAAACAGAATCAACTGAGAAGTAAATTATCTTAGATCTTGAATAATTGATGCAATATATTTATTGACCCTAATAAATTCATATCTAAAGTTGTCTAATAATAAACATTTTGTCTATTTTCGAAACAGGTAAGGGCTTGGACTCGCCAAAAAAGCATAAAAGACAACTCGCTTCGTCTGATCTGCTTGGGGCTTCGTGTAAACCTGCGATGTCATACAGGCCTTTTTCGCGTGACAGAGTGACCACCGTAGCTTTATTCGATTATCGCATTCATTCATTACTTTAGTGTTCTACATGGTGCCAAAGAGGTGATGCGCACCAATTAGTCGACAGATACGCTGCCTATGCACGAAATCGGAAAACACGAGCACGTTTTCCACAAAATCTTTCTTTATAATAAAATTGTAGTTAGAATTAATTTCCTGTCAAAATCTGGAAAACTTGTACATCTCCAATAAACAATAATTAAAAGTACAATAAGAAAACACCAAAGTTAGCCTACCTTAAAGATTGGTTCGGCCTGTTTACATGGTCCGCACCATGTTGCAAAGAAGTCCACGACAACGAGCTTATCTCCAGCTCCGCCGATCTTCTCATCAAACTCATTCTACAAAAAAAAGAAGGACCACCTGAGTAACTACTGCTAGTAATCGAAATAACTAGAGTAGTAGAAAAATACCGCGGGAATGTAGGCATACTGACAAACAAGAAACGTACGTTTGAAAACGATTTACGGGAAAGTTTCGCTTTAGCTCGGGAGAGCCATTTGCAGATATCGGTCATCGTCTTCAAACAAAGCAATTATTTTTTAAAAGTAAATCTGTAAGATTAAAATTTGTCGATAAAAGACCAAGTCCTTTAGAAGTCCTGTTGTCCTGATTTGTGTTTCAATCTTTAGTTATTACGTAAATAAACGACAGAGCCTTAGCAGGCAACCAAGGTGCCAAGAACTTCCAGTAAATAGCCAGTAAATGGCTATTTTTTTTAACCAAATTAGGTGCTATTGGTGCAGTAACGTAACGTGTATGTCCTATCAGGCTACTAAAGTACAGCAGAGTCAAATGCATGATTTGCATTTAATTATAATATAGATCGTCGTATATGCAAATAGGGACTATACGAACAAGCTGTGAATGAGGTTCCCATTCTTATTGTCAGAATCATACTGATTCTTTAGAAAGAGTTTCTACATGTAATTATGCGTTCGCTTAAGGGTCCTTGACAGACGAAGTGCTTTACGAAGCAAGGTTCTACTTTAACTGAATTACTGTGTTAGAAAAAATGCAACTTCATGAAGAATTGTACTTGTATGAGAAACAAACCTGTTTTGACTTTGCATAAAAGATGTGGGTAATGAAATAACTATTCTTTGTTGCTACATTAATGACAGTCTAGGACACATATACTCTTTACCCTCAAGAGGCAGAAGAATACACGTAGTAAACTCACCTTCTCATTGACTAGCATATAAACCATTATCTCCAAAAGCCGTGTACACGATCTGAAACTACCACGAATCTATTTTTTCAGTAGAACACCCTCCAAAATCAGCCTGAATAACGCGCCAGTGAATCACGAACAAAGGAACAACGTCGAAAAAATCCTACTTGTTCATGTGCAATCGTAGCCTTAAGCAATCTGCAATTATTTCAGTGTAACTACTGTGTGAGTCGAATTACCAGTCAAACTTCTTGGTAAACGCAAATGGCTCTGGGATGTGGGGTTATTTGTGTAACTTGGATGAACCATGGAACCGCAGAACGGGCCGAGGCGGTCTTATTTCCCTCCTCGAAAATAAGACCGCCTTAGCCCCCTCACCATTCCGCCTGCGGCGCCTGGCGTGGGTGAGGGATACACTAAGTCTAGGCCGGTAACCAACTATGCATCTCCCTGAAGCGATCAATGGGTCATAAGTCCTTTACGTGAGTGCCACGCACAGGATGCTTGAACACTGTATTAGCTTCCAGGGGCCACTATTAGCCCACAAGCAACTGTGGATGGGAAATGCGTACGAATTGTGACCATGCAGATATTGCCCTATCGCTGCGACACGTCGATCTGATCTCTAGATTTATAAAAGAGACACTAATTTATCAACCAGCTTTACAGAAAATAGACGTTAGGTCCAGACAAGGGGTTTTGGACCTAGTAGTCTAATGTTGAACCTGTGAAGCACATGTCCTTATGAAATTTAGTTGTAATCATAAACGTATCGTGACCTATCCACACTGAGCTGTTATCGAAGATAATAGCTACCCGTTTTATTACCTGTATATAAATGAACGTAGTAAAAGTGCTCTTATACTTGCCGTCACAAACAAATCCTTTTCTATGTCTTTGCTGTGAATAGGAGGGTATCTGCTAAACTAACTGAACTGAAAGAACGCAATCCAATAATTACACTATCTCTCTAAACATGGCCTGTTTTTACTTATTACATGGTGAAGATTCTAGCTTAGATAGGTAGCTAACCTTCTCAATGGTCCTTTAGATATTGGTTTTCACAGCTTGGTCAGAATTACAGCTTTTTTTTCGACTGCTTTTAAAACATTTTTTAGATAAAAATGTTTATTTTTTGGATGGAAATGTATATGATCTTCGTTTCCGTGGAAATATCTAACAAATACACCTAATTTTTTTGATTGAAAGTAATCACGGATAAGGCAGCGTTCCAGGAAAAATAAAGAAGAAGTACATCGGGAGTCAATTCTGATCAAGAATCAGTAATCAATGCTTCGACAACAAACATTTACGAGAGTAGTCGCACCACCTTAGGATTATCGGGAATGCTAGATATGTTAAAAAATAGTCAGACAAATCTAAGCGTTTAAGCTGGATTGTTCCGTTGTTGACTCTTTCAATATCTATGCACCCTGTAAGGTCCACAATGTTGCATATCCCGTTTTTATCTCACTGCTAACACAGAGGATAACAAAAAAATCTAAAGGAATAAATATTCCATAACGCATTTAATCAAAAGCTTGCAACCAGATAAAAATGAGATAGATAATTTTGTGCATAAATACATATTCAATAATGATGCTGATTGGTCTATGTATGTACATTTCTACGCGTTTATGTTTTATAGAGACACTGACTAAATCTAAACATTTAGATTTTCCTTGTTTACCATCAAGCACCAATATCTTGCCCGTTCAAATATAGTTAAGGCACGAACGGGAGTTACGGAAGATTTTCGATACACAACGATGCAGACTTACGGTAAGTGTAGCTTAACACACCTATAGCAATGGTATATGTTTGGGTTTTAAATCAATTTGCCCATCATGTGGTATATCAAGGTCACTTTCACTAATATCTATGGGTTTCATTTCCGTCAATTTTGCCTTAGCTTCACGTTGGTTTTTTTCCATTTGCTTTTGTTTTTTCTTTTCGAAATACGCAATGCGATTCTCAAGAGTTTCGCACTTGGGCCGAGCCAGAAGCGGCTTGTACTGTCGAGGCCTCACTCCTGGTAGGAGTGGATCAGCATGAGTTGTGGGACGATAACCGATGAGTGTGGTCAAATCATTGAGCATAGAGCTGATCATTGTGGCTCTGAAAAATCCAAAACAAAAGCAGTGTCTAATACTACATACACTAGATGTAAAAACGGGGTTCCAAAATCCAAAAAAAGTTAAACTGTTAAACTGTCCAAAATTAAAACTGTTAAACTGAAGGGTTAAAACTGAAGACTACTGTCGTAGTACTTCTGATTATATTTAGGCTCGTAAGAGAGCGAAGCAGAGATACGTGGCAGTGAGCAGGAACTATTATGGACTTTGCTTGATACATTTATTGTCTCAAGGTCATTAATCCTACTTACATGCGTAGTATGACAAACTTTGCCTCTATTCAGATCTTAACTGCTCGAGCCTTTCCATATTATGCGATACTCAACACAACATTTAAAACTAGAACAGATGCTGACACAAAAATATTTCGTACTTGATAGAGAGCATTGCCCAAGTACGCTGCAGCTGGTCCATAAGTTTGCTAATCTCGCCTCTGTTGTGAACCCATTTGACGGAATCGTAGACCGCTTCGTACAAACACAGCGGCACTTCCGACGCTAGAGAATATTGAGGTTTTCGTGGATGCTTTTTTACGTCCAGCAGCTCAGCGACGATTGATGGCGATTCGTTACCTAGATGAGATGAATGTAAAACAACGGCATAGGCCATTAGAGTGCATAGACAGTACAATACCTAATTGTGGCTGAAAAAAGAACTAGGATACGATAGTATGAATTCTTACAAACCCAAAATTCAGTGGGTAAATTGTGGTTTGAAATTATTGGTCTATCCACTAACGGTAAGCATTGTTTCAGACGACTGGTTTCCAGAATGAAACGAAGTCTGCTTAGACTGAGTTTGAAAAGTTCGAATACTTCACGTGCCTTCTGTACCTTAGTACCGCACCATCACCAAACAACATGCATAGGTCGTTACAGTTTGATAATCTAGGTGCGGGCTCTCGTAACTCATTTAAATGAAGCCACGAACTTATCTTAGCGTAAAATAATAGTGATTTGCGCGCTTTAACCGAATACATTTAACAAATTTGTTCATACCTTCTCCGACGAGTACTAAGACGGCTACAATGCAACGTATCTGATGCCATAAAAATGCATTAGCACGAATACAAAAGCAGCACATAGTCGAGGGGTCACCGTCGGAACTGAAATAGGGAATAGATTCAATATTTCAAAATTCAAGCTGCCCTTGTATGTGCCTACGTGTTATATATACAGAAGTTGACGGAGATACGTTAATTAGAGTTAGCACGTTTCCCATCACATCTAATAATTTAGCTTAAAGCTACGTATTGTAGGACAGAGATGCTTTCTGAGACTGCTCGTAATGTGGCAGATAGAATCATTAAAAATTAAAGTCTGTAAAAAAGAGCAAAGAAACAAAAACCTACCCTTCAGGTGCTTCAATCCAAGCTTTCTCTACTCTTCGAGTAAACTCGGTAACGCCATTGCCTACATCCATCTTGCAGAAATTACGAAAGTCATTTTCGCCCACAAGATATGAAGCAGCTTCGCGCATAGCATTTATCTTGAGCTGCCCTTTCGGAAAGAAGTACCTGCGCAAAAGATTTACTACCCGGTTAAATCGACTTGTAGCCTATGCTTTTTTATAGGCAGAATTACCATTGTAGATAAGGCAGCCTTAAACAACAGTCTAGATTTTTTTAGATACAGCTTTAGTTTAATGGGGTCTAGTAGAAATAGCAAAGTTACACAAACGAGAATTCATATAGAACCATAAGCTTTACATAATTCTAAATTTAACACACCTGCTTCACGTGTATGAAATATCAGAGAAAGGCTCATCTTTAAGTAATAGGCTAATGTAGTGTCCGAATCCGAGCAGATGTCAGGGCAGATCGTATTGCGAACTAATAGGAAATACTATTTTTTTTGTACTGATGTACTATAACGTATATTGACATTTACGCACGCTTTCACAAGAAATGTAAGCTCAAATACACAGTCTACGTAAAACATGATCTGAACTAATCGTCAACTGGTCTAGACGTAAATCACCAACTAGTTAACGTATACCTCTCCACACGGATTGGACTTTTCAGCCAGAAATGTCGACGTCCACAAAATTTACTTTATAACTGTGATTCAGTTCTGCTGGCCCATCAAAGAAATTTTATGTCAAACCGTCTAAATTACCAGCTGACTACACTGCAAAAAGCAATTAGGATCGAATGAAGTAAACTTCAATTTAAACGAATAATCTAACAATTCGAAATATTAAGGAGAAAGCTTTATATAAATATATAATAATTTTAAAATATTTCCAAAAATCAACAGAGTAGCTTAGCACATATACTGGTTTGACTTGCTATATCACTCACCTATACATGCGCATTTTGCAATCAAAACGCGCAGAAAATTTTTCTTCTACTGGAGCCCAGCCAATCACGCGTATTTCTTTGGGCAAAACTCGATTTAAGATCGCAACATAGTCTAACTCAATATTCGTATGTTTTGCTCGATTAGAGTCGTAGACGGCAGGCATAATTAGTCCTTCGCCATGTTGCAAATTACTGCGCACATCTAATGAGATAACCTGTTTATTGTTACGCAGCAAAAAGAAAACAATCATTATATTTCACTAAGATATACGTTATGGCCACCAAAAGGTTAATAGTTTCGCCTGATATAAATGAGCTCAAGCAATAGCTTGAATTAGACAAGTTAAAGAGATAATAAGCCAGCCACTTTTTGCCCATTGCGAACGTATGAAACTGTTGATGAGTACTTTGGTATGAAGACCTGCAATTATTATTACTACATTATGGCCTTCAACTAGACTGTTAAAAGGCTGGCTGAAGATATTTATTAATATATTTTCGTGTCATGTACTGCTCCTGTTATATGAGACTACTTAACAACACCTTTCCAAGCGTAAAAAGGTTAAAGCTTTATGATCAAGTTAACACATAGAAGTAGATTTTCAACCCCAACAATAATGTTGGAACATTAGCCGGAAGACAAAAAGCCTGCACTACAGTAGTTTGCCAAGTAAACAGTAACGAAGGTTTAAGTTACCACGGGTATCATCAAGTTGTTTAATGACGTTATGGTGCCATACTTTAAAGCCGGAGATAACCCCATTAACAAAGATGTAAAAATATCCACCTGACAAAATGCCGAAACGCCTTTATCAGTACGACCACATCGATGGTAATTCGATTTCTCGCGACACTCAATGAGTCTTGTTCGATTGAGGGCGTTAAAGAGAATAGCTTCAATCGTCTTCTCGTTGTCCTCCTGAACACAGAGTCCTTGATAATCCCAACCAAGGTAAAGAAATTTCAAAGCTATATGCCGAAATTTGTACCTTCAAATATGGAAACCATCAACAACATATTACACATCTTTACAAATTAATATCCAGTACACGGAGTACAAGAGCTAAAAGAAACGCCAAAATACGTTGGTATTACTTAGCATAGCCATACCAGAGAAAACATTCTATTGGAAAATGATAAGCTTCAAAAGAGATTGTATTGATATCGAGCGCTCTTTAGCATAACGGAACTTTATCGGGCAACGACAAGTATGAAAGCAAAATCCACAAGCATACATAAGCAAGGGCAATAGTATCTTACTTGGAAAAATCAAATTTTCCTTCCTGTTTGGTCTTTTTATTTGGCGATCCTGCCGTGTCAGCATCATCATCTTGAGCTTGATCCTCCTGGAACCTGTCGGAACCTCCTGATCGCCTTTTTTTTAAAGTGCGCGCTTGAGCTAGAAGCAAGTCGACCATTTGCTGTAAATAAAGGCAAAAGAATTACATTTAGTATTTATGCGCAACCGTGTTTATTGCGTGAGACATAATTGCTCATGTATCGTCTCAAGATGAATATTTTCAGTAGTATATTTACCATTATTCCCATCATCATTGCGATTCGTTTTGCTCATTGTGACATTATTTCTGAATCGATTGCAATGCGTTCCAGATTCGGCTTTTATTCGAAGACTTCTAGAGCTACTGATAAATAGCGATCAATGTTTGTCGACTCATGTAAAGCACAAGACCGGTAATTGTTTTAAGTGTATGTACAAACATATATAAATACACGTATATATGTGCATATGAGAAAACTATCCTGCCGTAGATATAATTGAGGTAACGTTTTAAATTGACCCACGGCACTACTGGAAAACTTACCTCTTTTGAGAGCTGTCTTAATTTACGCACATCTGTGCTAAATAGAAGTTCGAAATGATTAGCCCCATAAGTTGCTGCGGGTCCAGGCAAATCTTCCGTTGAGGGTAATGAACCAGAGTTCTCATCACTGTACCCCGTAGCCATGCTCTACAAACAGGTATCCTTACAAAAATACCCTTACAATTGAATGCATCACAAATATTGTGGCTCAATCATATTTTATTTATTATTGATTAATTTCAACCTGCTATACAATATAGCCCATCTTGTGAACCAATACGGTGCAACTTCTTCTATATTGCAATTATTTCAGTTCAGGTCTTGATTATTCGATCTTTACGCACTTTAAAGCTCACTTGAAATCAATCCAACAGATATATTACACACATATCACCTTGATTCTCACGTGCGAATCTTATCATAGCCGTTGATGTCGTGTCGAGCAGCAGCTATCATCATATTTTCTATTAAGTTTCTATATCGGTGAAAATCACCCAGTAGATTAGGAAAAACAAGCGTTTACCCTTGTCGATTGACAGACCCGAATGTAGCACGGATCGTCGGTACCCTGTCCGCCGCTTTTCGATACAGAAACTGCTTGAAAAGCTCGTGAAAAACACAATTTTTTCAATCGTTTTTCCAATCGTTCCTCATGAGACAACAATTTTTTTTCTTAATAATGCATGTTTGTCTCTACCAATTTTTGACATCGATGGTTTACAGCTGCGAACGTTCGATCAGTTGAATTTCGCGCGCATGGAAGCGAGCACGCGTGTCGTAAACCCGATGCTCTCACCATGTCTTCGGTGAGATCAGCATGTGTTGGAATAACGCGAAGTAAATGCTAGTCATCCCTTTTCATTCCCTCTTAACTACAGCAGACTTCTGCGTTTCTGTCTCGTCCATCGTTGCCATCGTTGATGGTGCACACCAGGGGGCGTTTCGGCGCGCTTAGACTCAGCTCTGTCCAATGGAACTATGCTCACGTAAACGGTTCGCAAATTCCCGCCTAAAGTTTAGCGGGCAACGCAAATACGGACTTCGTCATATCCTCTGTTCACGCCCCTGCGGTGATAAGAACAATACTGTCGGGTGGGATAGGGCAATAAGGAGGAGCGGGCGAGCGTAAAACGCCGCGCTGTGGATACTTTTGTTACAGCCCTTATTGCAAATATTTCTGGCGAAGACAGCGGTGTTGACGAACAGTTGTCTGGCCTTCCTTGTCGTTCGTTGTTGACTGTCGGCGGCGAAACGGCCGCTGCTTGCGCTCCTTGATATTGTGTCCCGGCTGCATCTGTTTAGGAGTTGTCGTGAGTGAGACTCACTGTTCAAAGCAGCTTGATAGCGACGATACGGATTCAGGCCAAGTAGAATTTTGGTAGCGAAAAGTTAGTCTTCATTTTCTTGCTGGCGTCGTTATCGTTGTTGTTCGTTATCCTGTCCTATCCCTAAAACCGCACGAGCAAAGATGGTGCATCAGGTCGCGTCTCATGAAGAGTTCGTGAAGTTGCTTGCTACTCCGGACAAGGTGGTATTTGTCGATTTTCACGCGAAGTGGTGTCGGCCATGTAAAGTCATCGGTCCGGTGTTCGAGAAAATCAGTAGCCAGTACCCTGATTGCCTCTTCCTCAAGGTGGGTAATTATCTAAATCAAAGTGTACTGACCCAGGTTGCTATACTCTCATTTAACAAATGGTTCGCGATCTTCACTTACGGAATCCGGTATCTATTGGGTTGATTGCCTGATATGGCAACGTAAAGACGCTAAACCAATGAGAGGCACTTGAAAACATCAGTTGTAATGGTGTTCTTCTCGTCAAAGCTCTAATTTAGAATAAGTCAACCTCTTGTGGCGCATACCATGGATACTCATTTATCCTTGCTGCTGTTGTGTCCTTTTCTTCTGCGAAAAGACAGATGATGTGCGAACTTCAATCAACCGAGCAGTGAGATTGAGATACAGTGCCTTTGTCTATTTAATCATAAAGTATTTACTTTAGAATCGCCTACAATTTAACTCACATTGTTGGCGTTGCACCCATTAATAAAAGTTACTTTAGTGATCTTACGTGAAGGTTTAATGGGGCATATGAATTGCCATTCGCACGTGTATCTCAAACACTAAGGAATCGGCACCAAAAGAAGACTCGTAGATAATCATCAGCATTTCAATGCAACTTCGTGTAGCTGGGGCATAATAGAAAAAAACGACACACTCTCATCTCAGTGCGTATGTCTGGGAAATATAATTTGTTTAGTGCAAAAGCAGTCATTCGTTTTATTACCATTAGTTTGCCTAAGCCTCTGTAAAATGCGTCGCATTATGCGGGCCTAAGGGTCCTATATCAATGACTCATATTAACGCATGAGCTCAACTGATTCTCGTATTCAACGCTACGTTAATTTGACTCGAAAAATAATTGCCTTTGGATACGCTGTCGGCATTATATCGTATCGGCCTGGGCTGGGTTTAGATCAGCATTGACTATAATTGTTTTAGGTATTTCAAATAACATTGTAAAGCATAACAGAATACCGAAAGCACATTGTCTCGAATACGCCATTAATTTAAATTTAAGTAGAACATGTTTTGTCAACGCGACAAATATGAAATAATGTTTTCATTATAATGACAAAATAAATTTACGTTAAATCATTAACGATACCATTAAATTACATTAATTCATACCGGCAAACAGATACGTCTCATTAGCTCATTAGATCATAATATATATATATATATATATATACGGCATAAAACACTTTGGTTCTGTTATATAGGATGGCACAAAACACCAATTTCATGATACAAAAGCAATTAAAAAAAAAACAAAAGTAGTTGAATGTTCACTGCAAAAAATGTTTCACACATTAAGAAGCCGTCATATTAACAGTCAACTAGAATCCTTTGAACCAGAGGTATGATAATGACTACCGTCTTTTTTGAATGTTGGAACCCGTTCATATACGTGCATATTTCTATTCTGAGATTGACCACTACGCTCTCGATCTCCCTGCATCGCTACCTTCCTAATATACAAGATAATTTGGTTTTGTTTACCGTGTCTATTGATATCAAATTCATGAGATCAAGGGTCGCAGAAAACTTATATTAAAATACTCACCTTTACAGGTATTGAAGTATTTGTCTGTGTAATTAATAGGCGAGTTGTAACAATGCTTATCGATTCGTATTGTCAACATGAAATCTCAAAATTTATGAAGTATAAGGAGACAGTCGGAATATCGAAAAGTCGATCAGGCGTTCTCAGGAAAGCTTCTAATTATAAGCTAATTCAACTGGTTAATGATCCAAAAACACGTGTTATTCAGTCACTGTACGGTTTTCATACCCAGCTTATTGCATAACATAGTCAAGCGACTATAATTCTTTATATTGCCAAGCAGTTCCTGAGGTGGTGATTGGAGTAATGTGCAAACAAAAAAAGTAGAGTTTCATAGCGTAGGTTTTCTCAATGATCGTGGTAGGCCCTTACCAGATTTATTCTGCGTCTATGAAATTATCTCGCTGGTACTTCTACTTTGCTTTTAACCATTATTTTTCTTTGACAGAATACTAGCCAATATTGCCAGATACGTCTAGTAGCATCCCATAGAGCGTAAATGGCGATAACTCAAGAGGTTATGCTGAGGACTAATTACGAAAGCGGAATAGGCAACCTTTCAAACTTATGTCGCATTAACTGCCTTAGACGACAGACAAATTTTTTATGCATTGCTATGGTTTCTTTATTATTCGTTGTTTACAAACGTTTTGCAAACGGTGATTCCATTTGGTGGTGGGAATCATCAGAATAGTAACACGCTTTAATCGATTTGATGTTGAATACAAGAATGGTTCATAACGGAGTTGGATCGTTTTTTTGGATCCCGGGCGAGTTGAGTTAGTTTCTAAGTGGTCTGTTAGTCCAACTTCATCCTACGAGAACCACCTGTTATGATGTTACTCCACCTTACGTGAACATCATTGTGTCTACAAAATTTATACGTTTCTCGGTTAACTAAGACAAAGTACCGAGTCACCTTTTATTACGGAAAATATATGTATACAAGAGAATAACATAGATGTAGAGGACTTCCGATGTTGACATATCAACATAAATGAATGCATCTTTCAAATAGTGGGACCGTAATCTTAACACTAATGACATATAAACATGTATACATTAGGAAAATACAATTCTATTAAAATCTAGCTCCATTTTTTTTTGTTATCGTCCTTAAGAGGTGACACAGGCCATACGATTTTAGTACGCTAATAAAATGGATTTACGCGAGTGAGCCATGAAGCTGTGCTGCCATATAACGCAGGGTTCGGAGGGTCAATTCTTATCCGCGTGTCGACCAAGATATTTCTCCTTCAAGAAAGAACTCCGCCCTAGCTAAATAGCTTTGATTCTGTACGAAGCCGAAGTCTCATTTATAGGAACAAACAAACTAGCTCGTATCCAGAGGATACTAGTAGTTGACATCACTTTTGCTTGCTCACACTTGCTCCCTGCTTTGCGCGCTCGCCGTGGCAACGTGTATTGGATCACTAACAAATGCGTTGTTGCTACCCATGCACAAGCAAATTGACATTGATTTCTAAGTATCTGGTATTTCAGTCATCAACTAAATAGGGTCAATGCATACGGGCATACAATGCGTCTTCTCCAATAGTTTTAAACTAGCCGTTAATATATGAAAATATTAAGCAGTTAACATTACAAGGTAGGCGTTTGGCCAGGTTATCGATAGAACTTTGGTATGAGATTGCCCGTCAATTACATTATTAACATTAAAATAATTGTAAACTATTAACTTTTCAATAGCAAGAAATTCATACTACTTGGGTCTTGCATGTATATTAGTATTGTATATACTAGCAATCTCTCGTTCGTAATAAAGAACGAAACAGTTAATGAGACTCGTTACTATTGCATACATGTAATACGTCACTTTTCATAACACGTGTTATCTCGTATAAACACTACAACAGTGACACATTGACCAGCTAATTTAACAACACTGCTATTGCAAAGTCCCTAACGCTTTAGACAAATAATCTCGTTGTTATTGCGTTATAAACGTTGAAATTGCATACATATATCGAACACACTGAAATGACTCAATAATTAACTAATTCGCTGTAAAGTAGCGCTTGATCTACCTACCCGTTAAGTTTTTCAGCTAGCCCTCAGCGATTTTCCAATTGTTTGCCTATCGCGACCTTAATATTCGTGTTTGGTAGAATCTCTTTCGAAAATTTTTCAAAATAGGGCGTATATTTATTTACAAGAGGTTAGTTAGCGTTGTCCGATCAGATTTAAACGATTCTTTTTAGGAAGGATAATATTCTATATATCTATTCCTGTTTGTTGGGTATTTGAACTTTGATTAAACGTCGATACATCGTATACTAAATATATTTTCTTTGTTTGTTAATCGAATACATAAAGTAAAAATTGTTTACAGCTACCTAACCCAGCTCGATTTCAATTAGCGTAAAATGATGAAGAACAGGAAACAATTGTAATCACCTTAGAGCACTAAAACTTGGTAAATTCAGAGCTACTTTGCCTTTATATAAACTTTTAAAATAAATTCCTTCTGCAATAACACTGTGCTTTGTTAGAAAAGGTGATATTCATATAAGTTGTTAATCGATATTTCTTTGAAGGTCCATATAGAACTTGGTAACCAACACTGTCACTAATTCAAGACTACGTAGTTTGTGTTTCGTATTTTTGGGTGAGAAAAAGTGTATTCCGCTAGTAGTGTTATTTCATTGTGTCACGTACTGGCATGAAACTAAATTTTATTTATCTAAAAAAATCCCGCTCTGTAAGAGATCGAATCAGACATACCTTTATTGAACAATGATAATTCGTAGAAAGTTATAGTAGTATATCGGATTTTTACATTTACAATTTACAATAGGATTTTTAATATATACGTATAGAAGGTGAAGCGTCTAAATTTGGAATTTCCCTTATGCCCTCGCATCTATACTTATTTGTCATTCCAAAATTTTTACTCCTAATGGTCATTAGTTTTTAAATGAGCACTACTTATCGCGGTTACAGCTTCTGTTAGGGACCTACGCCATTTACTAACCACTTTCGAAGTATTCTGTTTTCAATCATTCATGTAAATCCCTATGTTAACCGGCAGGTGTGAGCCCCAAAAAAAGTCACTTAAATACATTACGTACTACCTAAGCTGATAGCAGGTCAAAACTGCTAAAAGGCCAAAAAGTCTCAAAAAGACAAACAGTTTACGGTTATCGGGACGACTCAATTGGCAACGAAGATTCTCCTCTAAAAAACAAGCATTTGTTTGTTCAAAAATCCAGGTATATCAAAGAAGGCTTCTTGAGCCCTTTTGAAGAATTGTTGAGACCTTTGAATTTAAATCCTACTGGATTTATGGCAATTTTTGCTAGCCGTATGAAAACAGGTGGTAGCGTAGACGGTCGATATCGGGCAAAAGATTTTGGTCCAGGCGGGGGAGGGATATCGCGTAATACCTAATTTTTGCTCAAATTTCACAAAAGACGCACCATTTTTCACCAACACTGTTGACAACTCTGTTGTTTCCTGTGAGAAAGGAATGGTTTTTCTGGTACTAGAAAAAGCGGGTAAACGCATGCCTGTTACGTCAAACAACTCGGCAGAATCTTCTCTGATTTTAATGTAAATGTACCGCCCTGTCTATATATATATACTAAAAACCCCTGGACAGTTTTAAACGAGTATCCTGCTTACAAATATGTTGCACAGTTAAATCCGATCTTTATCGCCATCATTTGTTTCTCATACTGCTTTTACATATGTAAATAAAGACTGTAGTTGTTTAGAAACATCTTGCTTACCCAGTATTTATCTATTAGAAATTTTATTTACTAGTACTACAGCGATCTAAGTATTGCAGGATCGAATCGAATGTTAAAATTTCTGTCTGCTCAAGGTCCAAAAGGCTTGAAATAAGCGTACACGTCATTAAGATATAACTTCGGCCTCTTCCTTTGAAAACTCTGCACCATTTATGAGAAGACTTTGAATAAATTTCAATTTTGCAATTTGACAAACATGAGGAACATTAATTTGAACATTATATTCAATTTTTTTTTTGAGTTCCTAAGAGACAATCTGGATCCTTTACAATTATATATATATTATTGTAAGTAGTATTCTGTAGAGGAAGTAAGTTGTAAGGCTTGAAAGATCATTAATTCAAGAAAGTGCGGCATTCACTTAATATTCAACCGGATGCACATCACACTAAAGTGTAGCATACATTTTTAAGTATCATCTCAAACAAATCCACGAAAAGCAGCACCGTAAATAAAAATTGACTCACCAGAGGTATTTGATTATATATATTGCTCTTGTCTCTATCGTATTTAAAAAAAGTGGCTATTACTTGTTGAGAAAGTTTACTTTTAAAACACTACATAGGCCTGTATCATGAGTTTATCCAAATTTAGTATAATTCAAGATATAAGTAACCGCATATAACAGATGTTGTTTTCATAGCTTTTCGATATAAGTGGTACATAGAACTGATAGCTTTCAATATAAGTGAGTTCGACCGAAGAGTGTTTTTATGAATATTCTGCAATATCCACGGCGTTGTAATAGTTTGATGCAGCAACAGACGTTAAAAACAAACCAGCGAGAATCGGTGGCCTATGCCCCGCCATCGACAAACCCTGTCCAACATGTACGATCAAATGAAACAAAACAACGTAGCAATAATGATTTCAATTTGTTCCAGGTTGACATCGATGAAGTCGAAGAAGCAGCGGAGGAGCATCTAGTGCAGATGGTTCCTACTTTCATGGCGTTCAAGAACGGAAAGAAAATAGACGGAATTGTCAGTGCGAAAGAAGAAGATCTGACAGCGTTTATCGCCAAGCACAAAGGCTAGTTTAACAATGAGCAGGCGCCACTGATCGTTGGACAAACCGACTCATCTCTAAATGAAGTTTCCGATAAGAAAATAACTTTGGTACTCCAAATTGCCGTGGGCTACGGGTGTGTAAGGAAAAGGCTCAAATAAGCATTGATCAGTTAATTTCAGGAGAAACACTCCTAACACAAAACAGTATAGACTAAACACACATTCCGACACTTCAACCATATCATTGGAAGAGAATTTACAAAAGACACTGAAATTTGGTGGCCAAATTCTCATACACCCGCGTAATATACAAGTATGGGGTCGTAATAGTAGCAAAGCTAATTATAAAGATGTAATTTATGATAGTATAAAGTGGCATGATCTAGGCTATCAATGTGAAATGTGAATAAAATCCAGATATAACGCGTTAGGGTTTCCGAAAGTGATTTACTCTTGTGTGTTGCGTACGATTTCCTAGGTAAAGATCTAACAGTCGATAACTGAAGATCGGGAATATAGCAGGAATAATTCATGTAGCGATGTGCTGTTAAAACCGCAAATCGATCATCCATTGACATCAGCAGACACAGGCAGCATCGACGCTTTCAGTCCTAGCAAAACACAAACCGAAAACGAAACATGCGTTTGTGTAGTCTGTGCATAGTGACTGTACTGGTTCATGCAGGTAGATAACAAACGTAACGCTGTTAAAGGCGTGGCTTTCAACAGAGCGGTTGTCTTTACCCCTCCAGAGAAGTCCATTTCTAATGTTTGCTAAACGAAATAGTTTGAGATTGATTATGCCTATGAGGCCTTTGATGGGGTGTCGTTTAAGCTAAATAAATATACAACGAGGGTTACGTTGAACTGTTCTTGGACTTTCTTACTAGCTAATAAGATAGGTGACTGACAAGAGAGGTCTTTAAGACTTTATAAAGAAGACTTGTAAGTTACTAATCAAGCATACCTTTGCATGCAGGTAGCTGTTAAATATCTACTTTCACCGTCTAGGTAAATCAGAGCAATAGTTGCAAAGGAAAATCATGAAGCACAGGAAATTTGACTATGAAAAATTCTAATGCATAATTATCGTAACTGACAAAAACTTGTCTTACGGTTGGGAGCACACCAGTACTTCCGCAGTTGAAAATGACCTGCAGTTTCACCCCTTATTAAATTAGCAGATCTCTACTTATCCTCCTGCGCCGATTTCGTACGCAGAATGTCGAAGGCTCCATTCTATCGCCGTAGCAGTAACTGCTATCTAGCTTTCTCTTGTCCATTTCTTGTCTGTTGGCGTGTCCTACCGCCATTCCAAATCATTCAAATATATAATACCTAGTAGTTCTGCAACTATTAATACAGCATCTATACCAATCGTGCCATTGCTGCTGCCTATGCCTAATGAACATCTGTCTAGACTGCTGATTCGCGTAAGTCGACTTACGTATCGTGCCATTGTCATGGTAACTGCGCCGACTCGAATCCCTTACCTAGCTGAATACGTGGACTGAATACGGCCAAATCAGAATGCAAGAGTAAAGGCAAACTAGGTGGCCAAACAGCCTGTTTTTTCCAGTGGTTCGGAAGAAATGCTACTAAGGTTGTGGCCGCTGAGTAATTAGGCAACTGTCTACGAAGAGACTGCTTTGTTGTCGTGTTATTTACAGCGTAATGGAACAAACAGACGGCGAACATAAGACGACTTCTGGAAGAAATGGCAGAACAATACAAGGACATCTTTATCGAGGCATGTCTAGAAGCCGCGCTGATGCTCATGTAGATTGATTTATTGCTAATATTTCTAGTTATTTAATAACCATCATTTTGTTTGCTTGCGTGAGCTTAAAAAAGGAAGCAAATAGATGGTTTTTAAGCACAGTATAACTGATCTGTGCTTATACAAAGGTCTAACTCAGAATATAAATGTTGATTCTCTACGTATTAACGTACACAAAGTTAATTAGCTCATGTTTGCAAAGTTACATTTTTGTGTGATATATTCTATAATATTCCAGATCTAGCTTCGAGGTGGGTAGTTAGTATGCCGAATTAGTTTAAATTGATTTGTATTTATGAAATAAAAATGATAGCGTTAAAAAAATAAGCGAATATTGATCGGGGAGAAGCAACTGTGAATGAGTGGTCTATCAAAGGTTGTCCACGTGGCCATTCTGTTTAGAAGCGGCAGAGGGACTGAATTTCCCAAGACCCAATCAACAAGACGTTTGTAGTTACTACGCAAAGAATACTTTTCACAGCTGTCGTAATAACTGCAACACATAATCGTCGATCGACTGTTTCACCAAAATATTTTTTATAAACATTGTCACACACTGTTTATGGCCGACATAGAACCCCACGTTATAATTTTATATAGAATTCGATTTTAAAAAATACAGCGGCTATACACAAAAAAGGGGAAAAGATGCCTATACTTTAATTAAACGAGCGTGAATACAAATACTAGCTAAACATAAATTATACGAAATCGATGCCCCCTAACAAAACCCAAAGTGAATTTTGTTTGGTACAACATAGATCGCACGACTAAGCTGAGTAAAACAGCGCACATCGTCAGCACGTAATAGAGTAGTAACTAAACGATTGATGATTAACTTTCCAGAATTGTCGGAATATTGTTGACGAAAACATGCCCGAACATAAAAGCAGAAAATATATTTGAACCAATGCAGATGCGCACTAGAACACGAAAAACTATTCTGCGGTTTCTATAAAAGACTGTGACGAGAAGCCGTTAACAGTCACCATTACGGTCATTTGATGTTGGATGTACTGCATTTGATGTTGGATGTAATGCACCATCTAACGCGCAGTTGAAAAATACGACATGGAAAAAAAATTGTAATTCCACCAGAAATACCTGCATTCACGTTTGAGTATGTTAGTGAAGACACATGGCTAAAATGTAGAATTATTTGTCATTTGTTTATCACAAACGAATATATCTACACAATGTACAAATATACAGACTTATAATTGATCGTCTATTTGCTGAAAACATCTTTACATCTAGTTTATTTTCCGATGAGTTCAAATTGTCACACATAATTACTGTTTCCGTAAAAAATGTTGACTCTAAAGCATCGTATAATAACAATAAGAGATCATTAAGGATTATGCTGAAAATACCTTTATCATTGTGAAATAATTAGTTTATGCATAAATTTGTTATTGCAGTGTAAAGCGGACCTCTGTTTCTACAACAGCCTAATTTACAGCTTGCCTATTGTTGGGCAAAATAGCACACTGTCATTGGCCTGCATATTTCACAATACTGCGAATCAAAACGCAGCGACAAAAACGAAGTTGCCGATAGGCAGCTCGAAAACAGGTCAAAAAAGTGGGCGTTATCGGTTCATACCGTAAGACCAGTTAGTTACGGGTCACGCAAGCAGAACTGTTTTGTTGGTCTCGAGCACGATTCCGGTAAGTTGCGTAGGTGGTAGACGTGATAAAGCTCCCCGAAGACTACGAAGCGAGCCATGAACACAACGTGAGCTTAGCGCTGCTTGAATAATTTGTACAAAACGTTCAACCCGCCACGTTGCCGCAATGTTGACATGGCTGTTGGTCCCGATACGGGTTTGAAGGGAATGAGCCAATTTCACTAAATGGTCAGCCTAAAAATGTCACGTTGCACTAAGGTTAGAGTGTGCACAAACGAAGATATGGCTAATAATAGATACGAAATAGGCAAACTAGTTTTCATCTCATTTAGGTCTAACGCCCATATTAGATTTTAGCACGTACTTGATTGTTTTTAACGATCACGCAGTTGAAAGCTCCTATACTCTTTCGAAAGGATGCCCTATTTAGAAATTCGTACATAAATGAACCTCTGAGAGACAGAAATGATTTGTGCATCGGCTGCATAACTGGGACTGACCTGTAATGTGCCCTGTGGAGCTTTGAGAATCATTTTTAGAAGGGCAAGATGAAGACGGTTAACTACTGCAGCGTCAGACTCGCTTCCAATATCCAGACGATCTGCGTTAAACAATCCGTTGACGCCGTTGTCCGCTAAAGTCTCGGGGCTTAAGCCAGCTACAGTGGTCCACGCAACCAGACCAGGCACAAACGTGTGCGCCGTCGGCATTACACTTTCAAGTGGTACAAATGCCAGAAATAGATTGAAATCAAGCCATGCCGATAGTAAATAGAGTAGACGCCTGGGTGGAAGCGATGTCGGATAAAGGAAAGTCGCTGTCGTAACAATCGTAGCACAGAATGCCGGACTCGTGTGAACTAACTGAACTCCGGCTGGCCTTACAACTGGTGCAGCGCTAAGAGGCTGAGTTGACCCGTTAGGTTCCACTGGCGAGAGTACGACTTCCGTTCCGTCGAACAGCTCTCGAAGAAGCTGACGCGTTAACTGTGATGATACATCACTATTTACGCCGGCCACATGAATCCAAAAGGCTGCACAGTCCAAAAGTATATCCACCTGTTGGCAAATGGTGGAAACAATAAAAGATTGTTATAAATAGTAAATGACCGCGATCAACATTTGTCATGATCTAAATATTTATAAGGTTCAACCTCCAAAAAAACAAAAGAAAAAATTTACAAGCACAGAGCGGTATTCGAGTCTATGTTAGAAGCAGTATGCACGAATTGATTCAAGTTGAAGTTCAGCCGTAATATAAGGTGCTTTAAAAAATTCTTGCACTACAATTCGCATTATTGTTGTTGTTTTGACCTTATCAGCAATTGGCGACATGGACAAACGGTCCTTGTCATCATGTAAGGTAAGCGAAACAACTCAAGACAAACAATCTATTTCATCAATTTTACAATATGCTAGTGTAACCGTAGTTAAAGTAGCGAACTGAGACATATCAGCAACCTTCACATATATTGATTTACATACAGAACAACTAAGAAACCTGAGACGTTACACGCGTTTCACTTACATTCAACGTGACGGCTAGTGAGACAAAACGGGAGAGGATAGGCATCCGCCGATCGAGCAGTTGCCGATCGCTTGGTGGAAACATAACGAAGAACAAATTGCGACCTGACTCTTGGGACATTGTCTGGAAGCACGTGCACATCACGTCTAGTAGATGCAATTCGCGAATCGCTGTTAGTTTTTTACGGCGTTTCTCGAGAAATACAAATTCTTCGAGGATCTCATTGCAGAGCTCAACTACCTTTAAAAAACGTTTAAAAAAGGTGGATAATTACTTCGCATCATAATTTCTTGAACTCGCATAATGCAAGGTATATATATATATGCCCGGATTCGAACCTAGACTATGTCTTTAAATTTAGTAGGTAAATACGTTACTATGGCACTCTTACGGGGACGCCTTACATAGTACTGGACTACGCTTCTATATATTGCGTGTTGGGTAGTTTAACACAGGCCGAGAAATTAAGTAACCAAAGAGGAGATATTACTAACGAGTCGACATAAATGCGAAAGGTTTCAAAAGCAAAATAGATACTGTTGTTATAACATCAACAAACCATAGGCGTCACGGGTGTCACAAGAATCTTCTGTAGCTGACCAAGCGCTTCAAGAACGACAGCTGGAAAGTCGAGCTTCCGGAGGAGCGTTTTCACTTCAGCTGCCATTTTTGTAGCCGATCGATTCCGATCACGCCGGATCTTCGTACCCAAGGAAAAGCCTAAGGTTAACGAATAAGGAACAAGCACCCTGAAATCGTAACAGGCACCTTAGTTCAGGGTTGATTATATTCTTAGCTACTCAAAAATGCTTCTTGACATCGTCAACCAACTTCTTTGTATTAACCATGTTGATCACATAGGTTATATATAATAGAAACGTCGAATATGCTGGCGAGCACATGCTTGAAGTGTATTGGTCCCTTTATAGGAACCAGTTGTATGTAGTCGCTTTATTTGTATAAGTACATGAAAACATTGAGTATTAGGCATGTTTGCGAATTTATTCATTAGGAAAATAGGGATTTGGAACTAGATTACATAATGGACTCACCAACGGCTACTGTCGCAAGTCACGTGCTCCAAACGATATGTCCTTTGTTATGAAATGCGCGAATACAACGATACGTTTAACGAAAATCACTAACGCAAACCGTTTAAATGTTTTTAAGGACTTGAAAAATATTTTGCCTTCTATTTCATATTACTAGACTCGCATAAGCTCTTGAAAATTAAGAACCTTCTATCCAGCCAGTTTTAAGTCTAAAACATTAACTGTTTTATGCACCTGTTTAAGTGTCCCTCTAATATAGTGTATACAGATAATCTGCCATGCCTTTAAGCGGTTTTTGTTGCAAAAATAAGACATAGATCACTACACTTACCAATTTAAAGTTTCTCAATAAACTGGTCACTCCTGTTCAATCCTGTAAAACGAATTCCCCACCCAATTTTCACATTAAACACTGTTCGAAAATGTATAATGCTCTCAGCACTCCGTCCCTGTCGTTTCTTCAGGACTTCACTACACTGTGTTCAGTTCTGACTGGACGATAAATACAATAGTTTATTTGGAAACACAGGTTCCGCTCTTTACGTTAGAGTTCCGTCAAATTATTTCAAAGCTGCAGTTCACAGAGCTTGTAACGGATTCGCTCGTCTACTTTTACTGTGATATAATTCTCAATATATCAATACCCCACGCACTCACTATGCGTAAATATCAGTAGTTGATTGAATAACGATATCAGACGATTTCATGCAAGCGGAGCTTCGTTAATTTTCAATTTACTGACGGGCTGACCAATTCTGTGTCCCATTACCTTGATGGGTTATAAGACACCGGCATAATTTGGACCGTTTGCGGATTAACCTGTGAACGAAAACAATAGGGTAAACTGAGTTGTACATCTCTCTGTTGACAAGGAGTAATGTAAGTTTCGTTTGCATATGTTGCATGTAAAAGATACGATGTCTCGGGCGCGTTATATTATTATATGATTATAACTTAGCCCTATTTTCGCAGAGTAAACGTCGCGTCATATGCTGGTCCTAAACGCTCATTTATTGTGCTTGGCTTTAGACCGAAGTATCTATAGTGCTGAACACATTATACTATTGAAGGAAATGGATTGCTCTATAAAATGTGTTAAGGAAATAGAGTTTCTAAGGAGGGCTAACTTGTTTGGTTTATTAACTTACGTCGCGTGCATCAACTAGTACAAAGCCAACGTGGTTGGCCATATAAAGTCATAGTTATTGTTTGAACAGAAGTCTGTTTCTAAGATGAAGTTGTTTTGATTTGGACTCATACTAATTAAAAACTGTCAAAATAAAATATACATTCGATAAACCAAGTTCACGTTCTCCCTTGTACGGGGCCGCGTATTAGTTTCCTTTCCGATTGTTCCTGGGCTACGTAGTAGTACTTGGCACGTTCAGTGGCCAACTAGTATTATGAAGTCCACGTGTTATTACCACGTGCTTACTTGTTCACTAGATAAAGCCTAGTAATTTTATTATATCTAAAACATCGATAGTTTTTTTAAACTATGCCGTTTATTTAGCGATATCGCAGAGATATGTAGATTGAATTCGGACACGAACACGATATATATTCGGTTCGGGTCCGAAGTTCGGCGGTTCAGAGAGCTAATTCTGGTTTGTTCCCGGGGCGACAAATGAGCCACCATAGCAATGCAATGAAAATTTGTATGATTACTTTCCCTGTGATCTATACGTATAGGGTTAAAAATTAAACAAATTTAGCCATTAAGCTATAGTTTAGTAAGCGTTAGCTGAAAGCGACAATATTATGTTTTCTAAATTTTTTACGTTCGAAATCCGAATCTCAGTGAATAGAAAAAAGACACAGGCACTTTAGGTGTTTAGTGCTGTATTTTTGAAACTATCTCTATTGGTCTGGCCGTGTTATGTGATATTTTTTGGATTTATTTTATCCAAACATAACTAATAACATTATTGTGCAGCCTACTAAAAGAACCCGTCATATTTCTCGTAAACATGATTGTGACTATGGCTCAGCTAATTGGTGCGCAATGCAGGGCAAACCGGTGGTACAGCCAAATAAGTTTCATGAAAAAAAAAAAGAAATCAAGCAGACATGCCCCATAGTAAAGAGATGAAGATAGTAAAGAGATTTAATATTCTAAGCACTTCCATGGTTGTGTGATTTGCAAAGAATGAAGACACGTAGCAGCTTTTACAGCCATGTCGATGCGAAACTTCGGTTGGTGATGAGATGCGCTTTATAGGCTGCTTGAGAGACAAATATTTTATTCGCCCAATTGTTATCGTTATGTGACATTAAACACGTTTTCTCTCCATGGTATGATGGTCGTTTCTGATTTCCTAAATTTAAAAAATGACACAGTAAATAAGAAGTACAAAGACGCCTACTTCTTTTTGAGGCCTCTGTTGAATTATTTGTACATATAAATCACCTAGATGCAAATATTTGCTAAACATTTATTACGCCATAAAGCTGCGAGTGTTAGCTACTCTTATAAGTAGAAATATGTCTATCGCAGGTATTTTTCTTTGCCTTAAAAAAATTTGTTTTATGCATTGAAGTAACCTATTTATGGAAAGCAAATTTTCGTCTGCGCTTGTGGATAATTTTCTTTGTGCTGACAGCCTACGGCTCGTCTTTAGCTTAACTTTGAAATATATTTACTAAAATTATGAACTAAGTTAATGAAGTAAGATACATTAATCCTTACAGGATATTCTGTTATTGTTAGCTACGTAAGAGTGTCTTGATGAAACGCCTCTATGCATCGTACGTTTAAATGTCTTTCCCCCCAACAGCATTAGAACGCCCCTTTTCTACTGATTGCGCCATATACCTTATTAGTTTATGGCTTTGCAAAAGCCTGCAGCTATAATTCATGTCTAAAGTTCCTGTTATCGAAAAAATTATCTCGGGCAAAAAGGGTTGCTGAATAGAAGCTTAGTTAGATGTTAAAGCTTTGCATTGAATCGGTCACTCAGGAACAAAAAGAAAGGCCGAATTGAAGCTAACAACTCGTCGACGTTTCCATCACGCAGACGTATTCCTCCGCAGACGTATTAAGCGGCAGTCGACGGCATAACGGCGCAGTCGTGGCTTTTATTGATATTCAGTTAGCAGTCAGCATCTTTTGCCGATATAAATATTGGCGCGCCTTTTTAATTTAGCTTTGATATACAGAAAAGGTTTGTGTTTTTTTTGTGTTTAGTGTAATTTTCGGTGCAGGATGGTTAAAAATTATTAATATGTATTAAATAAAAATAAACCCGGGGTTACAAAGGAAACATATTTGGTTCGCGTTGAGTGCAAGGCATTAATACTCTATGGTAGCACGTAAACAGTTTTTAGTAAAAGCGTTGCGAAAATCTATCATACACTGTAACTCGAAATACTGCACGATCATGTTTAATGATAAAGCGCTTGCTAGCATTGTGCGAACTCAGTAATGCTATGTTTACTATTCAGTACTGCCTGTAACCCATCTCAGATTAGTAGCCGATTTGCATAATGACAGCTCTAGCAATGCTGAATTTGGTGCCTGTATGTGTGGGCGTAAGTTTCCCTTATATGCGTACCGGTTTTTGACCACAAGGCCGAAGTATGCATGTTAAGATTACATATGTATATATATATATATATATATATATATATATATATATATATATATATATATTAATGGGATGAGCTATTATGTACACCCGAGTTCCCCCATAATAGTATGTACATATTTTTTATGCTGTCCGGATGTGATATTCTTTCTCAAGATGAGCAATGTAAATTAGCACGTATAGTGTAGCTACGAGTCGGCCGTTGTAGCGCGTTCCTCATGCAGCATGTAAAACAATGCCTGAATTAGTTCTGTTACAATGTGTGGTAGATGCTCCATAAAGGGTAAAATCAAAGATTAAACACGAACTAGGTCCTTTAAAGGTTTGCAAGTGAAGAACTTTGTGGACTGGACTGTACATTTTATGCTAATTCAAGTAGTGATGATGGTGTAGCTCCTGAACAGAAATGAGCCTTTTTCTTACAAAAGGAATCGCTTAAACACTAGACAAGCGCATTCCAGTAAGGACTTCATTCCAGTAATATTTAAACAATATTATTGCAGGGCTTCTAGAGGCCGATTGCCGAAGCGTGTCGCGGAAGCCGACAGGACCCCGTCAGAAACTCCTAAGTAAGTCGCTTCATTCTTTATGCACATCGTTGTTTTTCCTTGTTGAGTAAACCTTTTATCTTCGGCGCGCATTTGGTTTTGAGGGACTTTTAGGCAAAGCGCTGGCAGAATGCTCACATTTAGTAAGAAGCGCAGAATTAGCTAGCTAAAATCAGTAAGTTAACACGCAGATATGGCATGTATATACGATTAGCTTTTATGTATTTAACGTGATTGCATCAACATTAGTATCAAAGAGATCTTACATGATGAAATTAATTAACATATCTTTCTTTTCATTCCTCTGTAATCAACAGATCATTATCTTCCGGCAGTGTCCAGTCTGATTTTGAGAAAATGTCGCTCGATAGTATGCAATCCGGCACGAGGCCGTAAGTTAAAACAATAATCGTAATTATAGTAATTAGTCGTATTAGTATAGTAATTAGTCGTAGTAAATTACAGTAATGTAAGGCGAAACTTGACTGCTTGAAACGTCCTTTGGGAGCTTGAGGGTCTTCATTTTACATCCGTTAAAGCAAAAACGGAGTGAAGAGCCACTGTTTTTTAAATCGTTAGAAGACTTTTGTTCCACCCGGTGTATTTGTCATGGAAGAAGTAGAGGAGCATGCTCGTCACAGAGCCAATGGTAATGGCTGATGGAACTATGGTGAGATGATATATACTGTACTGTAACCAGCCATGCAGTATTGCTGTGATAATTAAGTAGCAAAATTACCTTCGATACTTATTATGACCTTGTTGATTATTTCAGTAAAGGATCAACAGTCGATACAGGTGACGATTGGTACGTTCCTAAACCTGATGACCACTATGTACGGGCCGCGTAAGTTTTACTACACATAAGTTAATTAGCAAAATATAATAGCCAATGTTTTTACCGAAATCAAATATTTCATATACTTACTACAACATTGTTGCCCGTTTCAGTAATGAAGAAAGATCACAAAATGCTGATAACACTTCTTACGCTCCTGACCATGATGGCGGATGTGATTACGTTAACCCGAGGGGTGCGATGTAAGTTTCAATGCACATATATTGCTCGTCGTATTTTAAGACAACTCCTTTCAAGCTTTCTCCTTAAAGATTTTTTTAAAGTATACGTTTCTCTCAAAGGGTGTGTTTACAGGAAAAAGGTGAGCACACTCGAAATTGCCGTATTACCTATGAAATCACTAGGCATAGCTAACTTACGAAAACCAAAAATGCGACTAAGTATTAAACATATTGTAGACAAATAATCATTTTCTATGTGCCCATGCGGATATATAAATCCATCTTGGAGTTCAATCCGCTCCCTCTCATTTATTAACCGAGCAGACTCTCTTTTTTTTGTTTTTTTTTTTGAATTTGTGAATTTCTTCTCGAATTCGAAACGAAATATGTTAATCTCTACAAAATACAATGAAACAAAATTAGTTGTTTATTAAAATGTAGTATTTTTCCAGATTTCGAAATAATTTCACATAAATATGCGGAATGAAAAAAATTAAGCTGTTTAAGAAAAATTAGGAAAGCGTTATACATGTATGATATTCATCTGTTTTAGGTATCAAAGTTCGTCGAGGAACAGCTACGATCGGTACGTTAGATTTGCGTTCATTGACGGCTGATGGTGCAGGCCGGCGTTCATATGTGCGTATGAACCGGGATTTGGAGGCTGGATCAGCCGTATTTCTTGAAGGATGAGTTAAAAAAGCTAACGCTTTGAAAATATTAATACTTAGTTTACTTTTGTATGACAATACCTTTTTAGATACTACGATACCGATAAAATGGAAAAACCGACATCAAGAGAAGGTGAGTCTGCTTTCGAGTATTACATCTTAAAAATTACTACAATACCTTAAACTACGTATGCAAAAATCATATAAGCATAAATAGGGCCACGCCGTAATGAAGGAAGATATTAGTATATTAACGATACTACTCAATTTTATAAACACTTAAGTTCTAGCGGTTTCTTCCAAAAGCTTTCTTTTCCTGCTTACGTTCATTCGTTTTTAACCTCTAATATACAATTCGAAAGCGTTTTTCTGCTCTATCAACACGCTGTTATGGTATTTTGTTACACAATTGTAAGTAGCCCTGGACGTGTACTTTGTGTACGGTAACGGCGCTATCACTGAGAGGACTGCTTAAAATTAGCTTGTCAGTTATATTCGGGATCTAAGGAATACCCCCTGCTACTACGCTTGTGGCACTGTCTGAAGGCACACTTGAAGGGAAAAAGCTGACAAACAACTCGAGAATAGGTCGAAAAGATGGGCTACAGAAGACTGTCGTCAGCACCCTAAATCCATTGGAATTACAGAGAAACATGGAGCTTACGTACCTCATGAACTCCTTGAATTTAACAATAAATTAGGGCTGTACGGTGCATTTCAACATTTTGCCCGGTATCGAGCGTCACCCGGCTTGAATAATCGATTTTTACGCAGAATTGTCACGGTGATGGTAAGTAACGTCTGTACGTTCACATGAAGCACAGATCAGAATTGGTAGCTGTATAAAGGAAGCCGAGGCTTAGGGTCCAAGTAGATTTTCATTAAAAAATGGTTATGCTTAGGTCTGGTGAGACTCCAGCGACCTGAAATTTTAGGAATTGCTTGCTATGAATCAAACAGTTGATCAGCACGTTTATTTAGTTCAGTTATATTGAGTCAATTTGGCTATTCAAAAGAAAAGACCCGACAGACGAGGTCAAAGCATCCTGCTCTATGACAACGTGAGGCCATAAACGACAAACATCATCAAAGCTGCCCTCCTAAACTTCAAGTGGAAGATTTTAATGGATCCTCTATACTCTCTGGATCTTCATTAATCATTATCGATCATCTTCATTAATTTATCTTCACAATGGATCAGTAACTTAAAACGTAGTAAAACTTCTTCGAGTCAACTTCTTCCGATACCTTTCGGAGAGATGGCACATACCTTTTGGCGGAAAGATAGAAGAAAGTCGTAAACAATAATGAGAGATGCATAACATAACTCTAACACGAACAAAAAACGTAATATTTTCTATTCACTGAAAAACCGCAGTTACTTAAATAATAAGCACCCGCAGTTTTAATAAAATAATCTAATAAGTTTAATTATAGTATGACAAATTCTGAAAATTTGCTTAGAAGAAAATAGAGCTTTTATTTATCAAATAGGCTATAAGTGTATTACTTATAAATATTAAAGGTGTGAGTTTTTAGTAATATCAAAACTACGCAATACCAGAAGAATCTATGTGAATATTGCTTAGTGGAATGCTTAGAATAGCTTAGTGGGTACTGTCATTAGACAATACTAACCAAATACCTAGAAATGTGCCAAGTGAGAGCAAATTACACATTAAGAAAAGTGTAGGCTGCCTAAAACCTTTCATTTTCTAACACAATACCTTTCTATTTGCTTGAGCAAATATCTTACACTTGCAAAATTAAACTACCGTAACAATAACTTTATTTCCGCTTACGTGCTTTTGGTCAAGTATGTGCACTGATCCCAAGACTACAGTTCTTCTAGTTATCCCAAGGTAGTAGAGCATCCGTAAGTGCTATCAACAGACAATGCCTCGCGATTGTCTTAACGACCATTCAGAAATTCGGTAATGGGTTGGAAAGTCACAAAGCAAAGGTGTGCATTCCTTGCACATCGAATAACGTGTCTAATAATACATCCAATGCCTTTATGGTAGTTGCATAATTTTGACTGCATATGGCCATCATTAAAATTGCAAGTAAGTTCTGTGACCAAACTCATTCTGCACAGGATTCTTCACAGAGCATTTCGGCTCATCTTAATGTTAACTTTCTCTATTGTTGATCTATGTGGATGCTTTTCTCTATATCCATACCATCAATTATGGTAATAGATCCGTTGGAGGTTGAATATATTCTGATTAGCCCATCTAAACAATGACAATGATCGTTACTAAGTATTAGCTTGAGTCTAACACTATAACAATGTTCTCTCGTTACAACGTATTCGTAATTTGTTTTCTATAATAAGCATGATAAACTGTGCGCGGTTTTTGTAGGTGTACAATTTTGCCTTTGCTTAACTGGCAGCGGTCTGCTGAACACTTGGAGTGGTTATTATTCGAAATATTAAGACAGTCGAATTACAGCCACTCATACCTTGTAATTTGCTTTACTTGATATGACATATTGTGTGATGGCAGATAAATTCCATCAACAATATTCGAGTTATAATTGTCTAGGGTATAAAGTATGTAGTATAATATAAATAAAAAAAACTTACTGTGATCATGAAGGACTTTGATTTCTAAAACATCATGGGCAAAAATTTTAAGTCATAATCTGGCGACGTCGTCATTTTTAGCTTCGTCGATATTATGCTACCTAGCTGCGAGTAAAGAGCAGCATCGCTCTAACAATCTTGTGTTGATTATAATGTATTACTCAAAATTTTCATTGGCCAGATGGTCAGATGATTGTTTTTGCTTCTTTATTAGCTTATATTCGGCCCATGGCTTCCAGCGATGAAGCCTCTTAGACACTACTTTGGAAGTCGTCAGGTAAGAACGCTACATGTCGTAGCCACGCGATCTCTGTATATACCCTTATGTTCACTAACGGTCATTTACAAAGCCAAAGTTTCCGTAGGTACGTTTACGATGTTTTACGGGATGTATTTCAGATAGAGGAAGACCCACAAAAGAGCTAACGAAGAGTTATGGAGGCGGCGGTTATAACAGAAACGCGGAAAATCGTCAATACCCTTCTGTGCAACGTTGCGAAAATTGCGAAGGCAAAGGTCATGACGCTTCGCAATGTCCTTCAGCGCCGATGCAGCAACATATGAATTTTCCAGCACCTTCAAACCGATTTTACGATAGTTCGCGTAATTACCATGGTGAATCGAGGTCACGTGACGATTCTAGCTGGGGCAGATATGGCTCCAGTTCAGGACAATTTCAAAATGATCGTTACGAAAACAGAAATGTTTATCAACGAGACAACGATGGCAGGTACCATGGAAATGACGATTACAGACAAGCTAAACATGACCACGGGGAGGAGAATGCGTTGAACGTACATCGGAGCAATCAAGAAGGTCGCTTCTCATCTCAGTTCCAGGAAAGAATGGGTACGAACGACGAGAATGCCCAAGCAAAACCGTACCGGAAGAAAATTGAGGTGAATGAAGCTAGTGCAATAAGCCGAAATCGAACGGGCACTAATTTTAGCCGGTACGAGAATATTCAAGTCAAAGTGTTGGACCGAAACGGGAAGCCGGACCCTTCTTTTGAAAAGTTGAAACTGCGCTCATTTGAAGATGCTAAACTTGACCGCGAATTGCTAAGCGTACTTCAAGCGATGGACTTCAAGACGCCGACACCCGTGCAGAAGTATGCCATCCCAATCATCTTAGCCAACAAGGACATTATGGCATGTGCTCAAACGGGTTCAGGGAAGACCGCAGCCTTCGTATTGCCGTTGATGCAGATTATCTTGCAGGAAAACCCGGAAATACGTGAAGGCCCTCAGTCCCCATTAGCATTAATTTTGGCGCCCACTCGGGAACTCGTGTGTCAGATTACCGTAGACGCGAAACGGTATGGGATTCGCACGAAAATACAGGTGAAGGAATGTTATGGAGGGACACACATTGGCACCCAGATTAGTAATATACGGGAAGGTTGCCATATACTCGTGGGTACTACAGGCCGTGTCAAAGATTTCCTGAACAGGCGTGTAATCAGTTTAGAGCGACTCAGATTTCTCGTTTTCGACGAAGCTGATCGTATGTTAGACATGGGGTTCTTAAATGACATCAATACAATTGGCAATTATTTTAAGTTAAATAATATGAAGCCACAAACTCTCATGTTTTCGGCAACTTTCAAACCAGACGTTCAAAACATGGCAAAACAATTTCTAGCTGATGATTACATAAAACTTGAAGTCGGGTTAGTTGGTGGAGCTAATGAAGACGTAATTCAAGTTATCGAAGCGATTTCAGGCGTGGGCCAAAAGAAAGACCGTGTTCTTGAAATCATTCGAGCCGACCTCGCAGAAAATCCTCTAGCAAAAATCTTAGTCTTTATTGAAACTAAAAGGTCCGCAGACTTCCTCGCAGCGTATCTTTCGGAGATGAATTTGAAAACGACTTCAATCCATGGGAATCGGTTCGTATACATCACAAAATACGTATCTGGTATCAAATATAATTTACCCCTCATTAATTGAAGATCTTTGTATCTTTAGATTTTGTCGGCAAGTACCCGCATCTCTTAACTCAATAATTTCTCATTCTCCAGGAATAATAAGGAAGGCGTTGGTCTACTAATACTGATGCATTACTTATTTTCGGTTACGACGTCGTTCTAGCTACCAAGGGCAGCGAGAACAGGCTCTTATGGACTTTCAGTCGGGAGATTGCGCCATATTGGTCGCCACGTCGGTCGCAGCTCGTGGACTGGATATTAGTGGTGTAACTCACGTAGTGAACTTCGATATGCCAAAAGAGGCGGATGAATACGTTCATAGAGTAGGCCGGACAGGTCGTCTCGGCAATCAAGGTCGAGCGACCGCATTCTTTGATTCGAGCCGTGACTTCGCAATACAAGAACGGCTCAAGGAAATCCTAATGGACTGTGGTGCAGAAGTACCGGATTTCCTGCGTTACTGAATGTAGTGTCTTCTTTCGATTCTGATATCTATCAGTAATTAAAAACCTGCAATTAATTTTGTTCCGAAAACATCTGGGATCTAAAGTTTTCTAAATTAAAAAATAGCAATTTATTCTTTACTGTAGATTCTGGCTTAGTAACAATATGGAGTACAGAAAAATTTCTATCTATACACTTCATACAATTTGCTAAGAATCAGATTTTTTTGATTGGTTGTTCTAATGTTATAAACGCATATATGTATTCTTTTTCGTCGAAGTGTATGACACGCTTGTTATCGAGGTAATTTTATACTGAGTTTATTAGACTCTTGATATCCTTAGAACATGTAACATGTGAGTCTTTTTCTTCTTATTTGCAATGCAGTGTCTTTTCTGTATATTAAAACCAGGGGATAAACCGCTACCTATCATGCCGAATATTCATTAACTTCAGAAAATTTTTGTTTATTCAGCCATTTGAGGGCGAACCACAAGTATCAATCTTTGAAACTATCTAATAAACACCTCAAATATCATTACATTTAATTGAAGGCTGATCAACGCCAAAATTCGGTGCAGGTTTATTTTGGTTCCCAAATCAATAAAGGTTCTTGTTACAAATTGTCGTCGCCATCGAATGCAATGCGCTGTTTTTTTATTTGCTTAACTATGACTCTCTATGAAATTAATAGCAACGATGAAAAACCACACAAAAACGTTGGAAAAGTTTAGAACAGTCCGAATTTGTTATAGTCTTACCATCCTTAAGATAGTCGATTATAACGAGTTTTTGTATTTTTCCAACGTGTAATAAACACTCTAACTTCAGTCATTGTACAATTTTTTTGCCGATTTCACGTTTCGTATTCTTATTTGATCTATAAACGCTGCTTTAAGTTGTGTGTCTTAATCTAACACTACGATATACAGCCGTAACGCATGTTATTTTTCATAGTAAAGTAATATCATTTCTAACGTTTAGCAGTTCTGCAACTGAGAACGCAATTTTGAATGGTATTACCATAAAAAAAATATGTTGTATATTTGCATGCGTATGTGATTCAATAGTGCTAAACAGCCATTGCCGTGTTGGGTACATAGACCGATAACTCAGGTCTCTCGCCTAGATGAAAAAGAAATATGACCACAAAAAAGACAGATCCATACATCATTATGTATGACCCATCATAGCTCCATGATAATATGTACTCATATCCAACCAAAACTAAACGTGCATGATTCGAATACATCAGCGCCGCGATACAATTGAAATCACATTTGTTCATTCAAGTGAATAAAATGGTAAACTGCGTATTCGCGAAGCGCGCGACGAAGTCTTTTACTGTGAACACAAGCAACGAGTTAATATTGGCGTTTTTATCTGCTATGCACATTTGAAAGAGTAAAGTAGTATAATCTACTCTCTTACAACTATGCTATAATAGATAGGCCCTTTCGTCTATATACAAAAAGGCCTATAATGACAATTAACTAATCACCAGTTCGTGTATCCGACCTATTGTAGTATTGCACTGTAAAAAATAACTCAAATTTTTTATATGTATGGTATATACTATCTAGTTTGTGTTACTTAAGGAACCTAGCCAAACGGAGAATAAGCTAGCTCATCACGGGTCCGCTGATCTTACACAAAACAGAGGGAGCAGTCAGCAGTAGCAGCATCACTGTCACGTGTCACTTGATGCGAGCCCCTAGCTGTTGCTTCTTTTTGATGAGCAATTAGTAACAGGCACCCCTCAAGCTCTAGCGTCGCTCACAGCATCCGTCCTATCGTAGGCGACAAACGAATGGGAAAAGTAAGTATCAGGCGTGGCAGTGTTCCAGCTGTCGTTGCAGTGTTTGATTCAAACTAAACAGCAAAAGCATAACTAAGCGCGAGGGGATCTACCAACAAAGATGTATACATTAAGTGGTACAAGGTAACCCTTCTCAAGTGTCTGCCTGGTTTATGTTTGATATAGGCTAACTGAGAACCTACATATGCGTTTAAACTTCTTTGAAGCTTTTCATCAAAAAAAAAAAACACCCATGTATCTACGAGCAGCAAGCACTTACTTAACCATTACATCCGCTTGGAATCATTATGATTACTGCCTATTGTCGGCATTAACTGGCTTCCGTTGTATGACCTGCCTGATGCAACGTCAAGCTCGTATGGCGTCATCCAGCGTTGCCAAAGAACACTCATGTTCTCGAATAGATTTTCCCACATCTGTTAGCATTAGCGATCAACTATGCTACGAACAATTACCAGCTGGTTTATTACCAAACCTGTCGGACGCTGACCTCTTCGAGCGACTATAGATTCGATATATCAACTGCTTGGACGTATCAATATAGTTGACAGTGCACAATAATGATTATACATAACGTCGTTGCATGGCTATCCTTTATTTGTAGGAATTAACTCTCGCAACGAAAAGGACGCACTCGAGAACAAGGTTCTTCAAAACAGCACCGGAAAGGGAACTTTTCAAATCAATTTTTTTGGGAAAAGACCTAATTTCAATTGGCTAGTTAGTTACAAGCGAAAAGTAAGTTCAAGTAGAAGGATGCGCACGAGGACAAATGTTGATGCTCAGCAGCCCATCGTTTCCGGCACGCTATAACATCAGCTCAAACGCACAGCAGCGAACAACATCTGAAGTCGATATCGTTTTTCTATACGAACTCGGCTTTTAAATTTTGAAGATTAAGAGCTACGAATACGCCACTGGCTAAAGCAGTTCCTGCCACTATATTTGTCTACGCACTATTTTCATTACAGATCTTAAAACCAGGGATTCGAATGGGACTTTCGTTCGAAGTAAAAAATATCATCTATATCAAGCGTATCATTTGACCGATTATTTTGAAATGTGACATTTGCTCGCGAAACTACGGCTAAACGCGCACTTTCCAATAATGAGATGAATAAACTTAAAGCACTCTAACATTGTGTAATGGAGGCATCCGTTCCTCTAAAAATTGGCAGATACGGATGCAATCGTTTTCAGTTTGTGAATCTAATAGTCGTTCAGGGGCCTAATTATCGGTATTAAAGTTGCTACCCAAAGCCACGCCTATTTCCTTTCATGCGAGTAGGTATTTTAAAAGCGATTAAAATATCTTTAAGGTCTAGCATCCCTTCGGAAACTTGCACGTGTTGGCCTGTGATTCCACGCACTGACACTTACCGAAAAGTAAGCTATGGTTGAAATTCTATCATCAATTCAGAAATTAAAAAAACATATTGAAATACTTCAATCCTTATAAAGTAATATTAAAAGTGACAGTATACGCAGTCGTTGACTATTTAAGGAATATATTGCGTAGCTACTAGGCAATTTCAATGAATATTCTGTAGTGCCTTGTTGTTACATTTCAGAAATATTTTATGTTAATTTACCAAACTGCAATAAGTTTTTAAGTGGATGTTTTTAAGCCTGTAACGACCCGAAGCTTAGATATTTCTACTGTATTGCAAAGCAACTATCCTTATATTCAGGCTAGTTGCCTTTACTCTGAATTTCGCGCCTTTATATATATAAAGGCAAATAAGCATATTTCTGCATTTAGGAACTATATCGTGTTGTATACATATCATTGTTGTATTTAATAGATTGTATTTGCAAGCTATTGATTTAGTTGAAAAACGATAGTCTTTTTTGGAGTTTGTTTAATATAATTTGGATAATAGTTTGGATAATTTGCTCAGCATTTTTGCAAGTCGTTGACTGCAAACGCGACCATCTTTTTTCAACCTTCACTGGTGGGTAACCATTTTTATTGGTCTAGTGCCGGAAACTGTTTGTTATTTATTACTTTTTTATAAAAAAAAATAACATTTACCAAAGTCTGACTCTCGAAGAACATAAAACCAACTGATGTGTGATACGGTAATCCGGTTTCGCAAACGACCAACACCAGCCTTGGCAACCCGATTACACCACAGTGCTATGATACTATGTTTTGTTCGTAGCTTGGTAAGCTAACATTTTTCGCATGGAGCTGCCGAAGCGCCACGAAACTCCATGTTTTTTGTATAAAAAGTTTCTATGTAACCTGCGGCTTTCGAGCGGCTGCGTTTCAGCACGAAACAGATTCTAACCTAGACCACCACGCTAGGTTTAGCAAATAAACACAGTATCCACTGCACCAGCACGCGGAACAAAGTCATAAGGAAAATATAACACTGGGAAACGTTTGCAAAGTGAGTTAATCCATCGCAGTATCGAGGTCAGATCAAGTATTGCATAATAAACGCTGCAGTGTAAGCAGCACTGCATTGAATAATGTTGCCCTTATCAGATGGGGTGCATACTTAAATCTAAAAATGCCACTCTATTTTAATAGTCGATCTACACACGCGTGTATTTGTATGGCAAAACAATTTTGCCCCTAATTTTCGAATGGTGACACGATTCACTTGATCTAACCCAGTACATTTCAACTAGGTTATCAACATATCGAGCATCGACAATTGGATTTGCTAAATCTTCAACTGGTTGGTGTGCGTGCATGAGAAGTTAGTTTCGAAACGTAAGTACGCTAGTATTTTGAGTAAGGTTTTCACGTCGCATTAGCAACAATGCATATTGTTGTGTAAATAAACTGTTTGTCTTGGCGAACTAATACGCATAGACAAAAATAAGGCGTCGTTAGTTGATATGCTTTGCACATATACACAAACAAAAATCGCGTTAATACACGTGTCTACGCAATACGCCTGCTCTCCATCGAAACTGTACTGCTACACAAATTACGCCACGTGTCGTTGAGTCCGTTGTCTGCTGTGGGCTTTACGCATAGACGGCGCCAAAAGTAGAAGCATTAGGTACGTAAGCAATGTGCTGCGCTCTTTCAAACGTGTGCTGTAGATACCGTTACCACCGCCTTTAAACTTCCTTTTTAGTAACTATTTTTTTTATATTTACTATTTGACAGTAGTAAACATGTCTGACGTCTGTGTTTCCTTTTTGGTTCTATATATCTATTTTACGTCTTGCTTTTCATATTCTAGCCACTAGACTTTTCAACTTTTTTTTATTAATTAATTTGACCAATCGAAATGAATTGTGGTTTTGCGTATACAATTAAGATATAACATACAATCTACATTGTAAATTATAATGATCTGAACAAAATTTCTCATCAGTCATGCTTTTGAAATTATATTTGCGCTAATAAGAGGCTAATCGTAGTGTTAGGATGTTTTTGTTATTAGAATCGTAAGTCTTTTTTAAAATGAAATTTGAATAGAAATTGGCCCCCTACCTATTTTTTTTTTCGGTTTCCTCTATCTTTTCTACTGTAGGGCAAAAACTCTACTGTTTAGGGTAAAAAATGTGCGCCGTTGTGGCAGTAAATCTCTAAGGTAGAGCAGGGATGTAGAACCGATACTCGATATCAATTTACAAATGAAATATACTACACTATGACTTAGTAATAATTGCGCCGGCCACATAATCATTTGTTGCTCGACAGCCGAAAAAATCAATATTTTCGTAGTGTCAGCGAGCGTCTGATGCAACACCATTTATTATTTTGCCGAACAAATAAGGACAGTCTGGTCGAACGGAAAGTAATGCGGAACTGTATTAGTGTTAGTTAGCGACAATGAGGTCGATAGCTAAAATATTCGTAATATTATTAATTACCGTCTATTTCCTATGCATAGGATTTATTACCAATCTGTCTTACGTGACACATACATAAAGACGTTGAATTAACGGATTATGCATAGATTTTTTTGTTTAAAATAGATAGCACAGTGCCTCGGACGACAATCAATAAATGTCGTTTTCTTTAGGTTTGTTATTGCAAAAGCACTCTTCTAGCGTTTCGTGCAGGTGAATAAAATGTTCTTTACTTAACGTACGAGTCAAGCACGTC